GAGTGCCAGGACAGCCTCCAAAACTACACAGAGAAACCCTGTCTCGAAAAAAAAAAAAAAAGAAAGAAACTGGAGTTACAGATAGCTGTGATCCACCGTGTGGGTGCCGGGAACTGAACCTGGGTCCTCTGCAAGAGCAGCAAGCATTCTTAACTGCTGAGCCGGCCCCCCAGCTCCCCTCCTCTTAAAAGTTTACTTTTAATTAAAACATGTATTTTTATTTCATGTGCTTGGGTATTTTCTCCCCATTTATGTTCGTATGCAACTTGGTGCAGTGCTCCAGGAGGCCAGAAGAGGGCATTGGATTCTTTGGGACTGGAGTTACACGTGGTTGTGAGCTACCATATCGGTGTTAGGAACCAGACCCAGGTCCTCTGGAAGAGCAGCCAGTGCTCTTAAGCAATGAACCATCTCTTCAGCCCCTGGGTTCTGATTCCTAATCCCCTAACTTTTCCTATCTTGCTAAAAGCACCCCAAAGTTCCCTTGCCCTCATAAATGCCTGATTTGGGGGAATCCCTTGTGTGACCATTACCCACTCTGTGCTTTTCTAAGAGCAGGCCCCTCCAGAGTCCTTTCCTGTCTCAAAACGAAGCATGCCTTTCCTGGCTTCTCTCCTACACCCCCTGGTGGACAAATGTGCACAGCACTCAGGCCCTGGCTGCTGGGAGATGCTTCTGTCTGTGCTTCTCCTCATCTTCCCTGAAGCCCCAGAGCTGCCCTCCGGGTGTGAGTGTGTGCGTGTGTGAGCGTGTGTGTGTGTGTGTGTGTGTGTGTGTGTGTGTGTGTGTGCCCACCTCACCTTCTGTTAACCCGTAGACACTGTCTCCTTCTCTCCTCCTCCCTGAACTTTCCTCTGGAAGACTCACCCTCTGCCCAGTGTGAATGAGACTCTGAAGGAAACATCTTATAATGCTCCCCATTTTGGCTCCCGTGTTTATCTCTGATGAGGCATTTTCCGAACCTGTCCTCCCAAGGGGGAGGGTGGGGTGCTCCTAAAAATTTGTCCAACCACAGCTTCACTTTCCAAGGCTCCATCCATAAGCCTTCAACTCATCAGTGGTTCTGACTGGAAACCTTAGGGTAGTAGAGGGCTATCCCATGATATTTCCTGATCTGTCTCCCTCCATTCCTCTAAATAATGTGTGCCCCACCCCAAACAACCTCTCCTGGATCCCAGGCAGGCCTGAATTTGACATGTAGCTGAGGGTGGCTTTGAACTCCTGATCCTCCTGCTTCTATTCTCAAGTGCCAGGATTGCAGGCATGCCTGGTGAGTCCCAGTTTATGCAACAGGAGCTGGGGACAGAAGTCAGGGGGGTTGGTTCCGGCATTCTAGGCAAGCACTCTACCAACTGAGCTGCACCCCAGCCAAGTAGTTTCTAAGTCACTGTCAGTTGCCAGAAGCCTCATTAGAGTCTACAGCCTAAGTGTTTCAAGCCCTGAGCATGTGCAGAGCCTCTCTCTGGGTAATGCTATTGGCTTGAACTTCTTGTTGGACATGGGAACAGTTGCTAGGGAAATGTTACCTCCAGTACAGAGTTTGCTGGAGACGGAATCCAAGGTGTGGGCTGTGGAGGGCTCCAGGAGGTTTCAATGCGTGCAAAAGGGGACAGCCATTGCTGTTCGATTCTTCCCAGGTCAGCCATTGCAGCCATTCTGCTCTGTCTCAGCCTGGTCATGACACCTTTCTGGTCATTTCCACTATGGCCATATGGCAAGAAAGGATCTTTGGTCCTCGTCTGTATGTGTGTGTTTCATTTCTCGTCAATGGTGAAAGGATGGCCCCCCTATCAGCCTGAATTCAAGATCTCCAAGCCTGGTTGACTTCCTGGGGGAGGGTGGCTGTCCATTGCACTCCTTTACTTCCATGAATCCAGGTTGTGCCCAGACGAACCCAGAGCCTCCGTTCCCGCCGCCGCCGCCGCCCCGGCCCCGGATATAGGAATGATTTGCTACCTAAATTCTTGGTTTCGTCTCCTGAGTTCACATTGTCATCCAACAGTAGTCTCTCTCAAACCCAGGGTCCAGGCATCTAACTCCCACCTTTTTGGACCGTGCTTTCCAGACGTTCTGCCTTTCCCCGTTTCTGGGTGGGCAGCGCGTGACAGGGGAGAGGAGGAGGTGGAAAGAACCTGGGCACCGCCCCCCACCCCCTCTTGCTTCAAGAGCGGCGGAGACTGCGATCCTCAATCCTACCACACGGGGGCGCCAGGACAAGTGCGGACGCAGGCGAGGCAGCGCAAGGTGGTTCTCGTCCGTGTGAGTGCGCCCAAGGGTGTCTTTGTGTGTCTGCGTTTCTGTACATATGTGTACGAGTCAAGGGGTGTCTGGGTGGGATGTATTCGGGGGCAACAAACCTGATGTATCCTCTGAAACAGGTACTCCAAGTGTTTTTTCTTTTTATGAGGATGCTTAGTGTCACCGCTTATGTGTGCTTGGGGAGGCAGGCGACTTATGTGTATTGTCGCGTGTGCACAGTGCAGGCTGTGAGTCCCCGAAACTGCGTCTAGATTTTTGAAGTCACGTTTCATGATGGGTTTTTCTTTTCTTTTTTTTAACCCTCTCCCCCACCATCCTGAAAAAAGGGACTAAGGGCTGTCCATGCAAATTGCTATCACCCCGGGCACACCCTCAGCATTAAGTCTGGGTGACTGTGCTAAGTGAAGTGTGACATTGTGTTTGTTAAGTGGGTGTGTCTGAGAGTCTGAGTGTAACTCGGTAAGAGCGGGTCGTCTCCTGTGACAGGTGGATTTTGAAGGGGGTTGGAGCAAGATTATGGAAGCAATCAATGTCTCCTGTTAGTTGTGAATATCACCTTCATTGTGTGTGTGAGGCTAAACGTGTGTGTGGTGTGTTTCCCTTTCTAGGTGTCTCAAATGGCAGTCTCTCTCTGTCTCTCCCATCTCTGTCTCTTTTCTCTTTGCTTGGTGACTCATCTTTGCGGCAATGGCCTCCCCCCCGCTTGCTGGGTCTCCCCTCCCCCACTCAGAAGTGGTGGGTGGGGGGGTCTAATGGAATGGGACCTTGGGATTAAAAATTAGAGTGAGAATCCCCCTTCCTACCATGCATCATTTGGAACCCTCTGCTGGCCCCCTCCCTGACTCTCTCTCCAAGTTCCTTCCCAGACTTCCCCAGCTTTGGGTTGGCTTGGCGGGTAAAACATGAATGGTTTCTAAATCGGACCAAGGGTCTTTAATACCTTTTATAAAATTCTAGTTCAAAGCAGAGACCCTTGTCTCCTAAAAAAGGGCCCCTCTCATTGCTCATCTCCACCCTCCCATGGCTGACGAAATGGACGGCTGCAGAGGTGAGTCACCGGTTGGGGGAGGGGGGAGCAGGAAAAGGAGGGTTGGGTGAGCTGCAGGGGTGGGGGCGGGGCAACGAAGCCCCTGCTCTTTCTTTCCCACCCCTCCTAAAGCCCTCCCCCAGCCCTCATTCCTGGGTTTCCAAGCCTTCCCCTCCATGATCATGATTCTGGAGAACCTCACCTTCTCCTACCCCTGGAATGCACGAGAGGTTCAGATGCCACGGTAGACAGGTCCATACACACAAGTCAGGGCAAATGTTGGGTGTCCCCTCCCTGTCCTCTTCTTAGCCTTTTACAGATGTCTCTCCATGTCGTTACCTGTCTTGCCACCTTCCTCTTCTCCCCTATCCTAGGAACCGGCCCCTTGTCTAGGTCTTTTCTTGTGTAGAGGCAGCAGGCTTAAGGGGTGGTTGCCAGGACTCAGCCAGTTAGTAAGTGCTTGCCCAGCACACATGTAGCCCTGGGTTCAATCCCCAACACTGCATACATGGGGCACTGAGGAGCATATTTGTAATCCTAGCTCTTAGGAGTGGGAGGCAGGGTTAGACACTCAAGGTCATCTTCAGTTAGTTAAATGGTGAGTTGGTGGTCAGCCTGAGTTACTGAAGACCCCGCCTCAGAAACAAAACAATAACAACAAAGGGAGAAATAATGGAGGGCATCCATCACCCCTGGGAGGGGAGGTGTGTACATATGTGAGTGGCTGAGCTGGGGGCGAGGCAGAGACACAGAGTCCCAAGTGCACGAAGGCAGGAGGGACCTAGGAAGTCACCAAACTGGTGACTGAGCCCACCATGCCCAGCTCCGCCCCATGATGGCTGGGGTCTTGAGATGTGAGTTTTCGAGCAGGCTCTTGGGGCTCAGAGTAAGTAAGGATGAGGGATTGGGGGTGTCAGAGAGGTGGGGAATGCCCCTAGCAGCCTGGGATGAGGATTTGGGGTGGGGCCCGCAGATGAGTGGCTTCAGTTACCAGGCTTTATTGCCCTGAGATTTGTAAGGCGAAGAGAGAAGAGACAGGGACAAGAAGGGAACAGAGACATAAGCACGAGAGGATCCCCAGAAAGGTGCAAAGACACACGCACACGCACTAAGCCAGACACCAGACCTGGGTGCATTCAAAGACCCCAAAGAGCACAGTCCCAAGGGCTGAGAATCACCACTGATCCACCAACAGTCACACAGGTGCTTAGAGAAGCCCCTCCCCAACTCATTTAAACTGGAACCACATCCATCCAGTCCCAACCTGATCCCTCGCTTCTTCCCCTCCTTTCCTCTCTGATTTGGGTCTCTTCAATCTCTGTCCAGAGAAAGGAGCACAGAGCACACACATTCACAGGCACACAAAGGTGCTTGCATACGCCTACAAGCCCACAGGTATGGGGTTCCCCTCAGTGTCTGTCTCCTTTCCCGGGATCTCAAATTTAGACTCCCAATCCCACCAGTCACCCCTCTTTGGTGAGCTCTCTCCATCCCTCTCCTCTCCCTCCTCTCTGCGAAGGCTCCCCCCCCTTCAGATGTGGGAACCATCTGATTGATCTTTCTTAAGGAAGGTAATGTGACCCCCTCCTCAGTCCACTGCTCCTGGGAGCCAGGCTGAGATGAAGGGAGTTGGGGAGGGGAGAGGCGAGGAGGGGGTTCTAGCCATAGGCTCTAGGGAGTTGTGGGGGGGGGATGTCAGGTGACGCTGGGGGATCCCTAGGCCCCTCTCCCTGCTTTCTTTGAGATGTCTGCTGTCACCTTGGCTCTCAAGTTTGGTTTTTCTCTCTCCTTCAGCCTGCTCCTTCAACCTGCTTCAGGTCCTTTCCCTTCCTCTCCCCTGCCCCCATCTCTTCTCTTTCCTCTGGAACCCCACCTTTTTCTCCGCAGAGCTGATGGCTTTTCTTCTGGTAAAGTCAAGCCACTGATGGAAGGGAGAAGCCACCGCTGGTTATAGAGAGAAAGCACGTGAGTATGAGTGTGTGTGTGCGTGTGTGTGCGCGCGCGTGCGAGTGTGCCAGCGCCCCCACTAGTGCACAAGCTAGGGGCTTAAAATGGGGGTCAGTATCATGATGGGATGACGGTAGGGATAACTCCTTCAAGAGACCCTGAGACCCCCCCACACACCCTGGTTTGCAGAGTGTCGGGGTGCGGGCAGGGGGCTTTGCGTGTGCCTGCAAGCACCCCTGTGTCCGCAGTTCGTGTGTATCTGGTGTGTGTCACTGTCCCCCCCTTTCCCTGCCCACGCCCCCGCACTGCTCTCCGCCTGCACCGCAGCCCCCTCCTGCCTCCCCCCTCCCTCCCTCCCTCTCATTCCTGCAGTAGCTGCTCCCGGGGCCACCTTTCCCTCTCCTCTACCCCCTCCCCATTTCCGCCCTCCCCTCCCACCCCCGCCCACGTTTGGTCTCCCTTCACCGGACCCGGCAGGCTGATAGATTTTCTGCGCAATCTCTGCGTCATCGCCCCCCACTCCCGGAACCTCTAGCTGTCCGAGCCCCCAGCCCCAACCCCTCTGGGCAGGAGATACGGTTGAAGGGTCTGATGGCTGAGAGGGTCCATCTCTGACGTTGCAGTGCACCCCGCCTCCGGTCGCGTTCAGACCTCCCTCCCCTGTAAGCCGTAGAGAGAAATGGAGTTGAGTCACCCTCTCCACCTGCTCAACCCCCTCCCCACCTGGTCTGGTCTCGCCCTCCAAATGTCCTTGGGTGGGGGCTGTGGGGGAGAGGGAAATAAGCAGATGGGTGTGGGAGAGGTGGATCGGAAGGGGGCACAACACGGACCCCTAACACGCACAGCAGAGTCCGCTGGCCGGAAGGACAGACACACCTTTTTTATTTTTTTTTCCGTCCTCTCCAGACACGAACCGGTCGTGAGCAGACACGGCCCAGAGGCACACACATCATCAATCTTTCCCTTTTCTCTTCCGACTAGGACCCTTTCCAAGGTGACTACCCAAACCGCATTAGCCACCCATCTGCCCTAGCCCTGGGCGGGCGTCCCGCACCGCAGACCCCCCCTCAGGTTCGCGTCGTCCTTGGGCTGTGGCTGAGCAGGGGGCCCGCCCCCTCCCCGGCCTTCAAACCCTTGCCGTCCCCCCCATCCAGTATCGATCTCTTTCTTACTGGCGCCCAGTGCGATGCTGGCGGGGCCCTCTTCCCATCCTATCCTGCTCAGCAACGCGGGCTCTGCGCCGCAAGTTGCTTTGTAACCCACCCTCCCGCCTTCTGGCTCCTCTGTACCCACCCTTCCATTCATTCTTCCATTCATTCATTCATCCTTTTCTCCTCGTCCCCCCTTCATTCATTCAAAGCCCCCCCGCCCCGCCCGCATCCACATTTCATTCATTCATTCATTCATTCATTTCCCGGAGCTCGGCTGGCGCACGCCCCTCCAGCCGAGGGCCTCACTGCGCAGGCGCAGGCCGGGAGCGACGCTCACCCTCCAATCGCCGGACACCCACCATCCACCGGGCACCCGCCCGCTTCCCCATGAATGAACACTGACGTCAACGGGGCGGGGCGAGCCCACGTGACCCCGCGCGCTCCCCTTTATAAGGCGGCGGCGCGGGCGCTGTCCAGCGTGCTGAAGCCGGAGCGAGAGCGCTGCTGCCGACCCAGCTGAGCCCAGCTCCCAGGACGCCAGCCCGCGACCATCGCTCGTACTCCAGGCACCGGACGGAGCCCGGGCGGACGGGTCCCCATCTCCCCCCTGCCCCGACCCTCCTCTCCAGCTTCCGCCGTCGTGACACCGGCTGGTAAATACTCCGATGTCCATTCCTCCAACCCTCTCCAGTCGTGGGCGTGAAGGGAGGGTTTTCGTTCCCAACGGGGTGTTGAGAGCACAGCGGGGTGCCCCCGAGAAGGGTCTTTGGCAAATTGGGGAGACTCTGCTTTTCTGCCGCTGATGAAGTCGCCCACGCACCATCCGGGGAGTCCTGTGGGGAGGGACAGATTCCCCCCTCCCGCTTATCCTTGTACGCGGGCGCTGGCTGAGAGATGACTTAGGGAAGGGGGCGGCAGGAGGCACTGGGTGCCCAGAACGAGCACTGCGGGCGGGCGTTATTTTCCATTTGCACGACTCCAGAGATCGCCACATCTTTCTGGTTCTCTGCTAAACGTTTTCTCTTCGGGTAAGGTTAGAGAAATGAGGGAAACCCCGGATTTCCTGCTTAAAGGTGGGGGAAGGGAATGCAGAAATAGAAAGCGGGGATTCTTACAGGAATCCTCTATTTCTTTGGTTTCTTCTATTTTTCAGTCTCTGGCAGCCCGTTGGTCATGAAAACCCTCACGTTCCCGGCATCCGTCCTCTTCTGTTTCCTTCTACTGATCCAGGGGTTGGGAGCAGCGCCCCCCGGGCGCTCCGATGCCTATCCTCCCCCCCTCAGCTCTGAGCATAAAGAGCAGGTAGCTGAGGACGCAGTGTCCCGGCCAAAGGATGACAGCGTCCCAGAGGTCCGAGCCGCTCGGAATTCCGAGCCTCAGGACCAGGGAGAGCTCTTCCAGGGCGTGGATCCCCGGGCGCTGGCCGCGGTACTGTTGCAGGCACTGGACCGTCCGGCCTCGCCCCCGGCGGTCCCAGGAGGCTCCCAGCAGGGGACACCCGAAGAAGCCGCAGAAGCTCTGTTGACCGAGTCCGTGCGCAGTCAGACCCATAGCCTCCCGGCACCAGAGATCCAAGCGCCCGCTGCGGCCCCCCCTCGCCCTCAGACTCAGGACAACGATCCCGAGGCTGAGGACCGCTCAGAAGAGCTGGAGGCGCTAGCATCCTTGCTCCAAGAACTTCGAGATTTCAGTCCGAGCAACGCTAAGCGCCAGCAAGAGACGGCCGCAGCAGAGACGGAAACCCGCACGCACACGCTGACCCGAGTCAATCTGGAGAGCCCCGGGCCAGAGCGCGTGTGGCGCGCTTCCTGGGGAGAGTTCCAGGCGCGTGTCCCGGAGCGCGCTCCTCTGCCACCCCCGGTCCCTTCGCAATTCCAGGCTCGAATACCCGAAAGCGCTCCCCTTCCCGAAACCCATCAGTTCGGGGAAGGAGTGGCCTCCCCTAAAACACATCTAGGTGAGACTTTGACACCCTTATCCAAGGCGTACCAAAGCCTAGGTGGCCCCTTCCCCAAGGTGCGCCGGCTCGAGGGTTCGCTCCTGGGCGGCTCCGAGGCTGGAGAGCGCCTGCTTCAGCAAGGGCTGGCTCAGGTGGAGGCAGGGAGGAGACAGGCGGAGGCCACCCGGCAGGCCGCGGCGCAAGAAGAGCGGCTGGCCGATCTCGCCTCCGACCTGCTGCTCCAGTATCTGCTGCAGGGCGGAGCCCGGCAGCGCGATCTCGGGGGTCGCGGGCTGCAGGAGACGCAGCAAGAGCGGGAGAGCGAGAGGGAGGAGGAGGCGGAGCAGGAGCGACGCGGTGGTGGGGAGGACGAGATGGGGGAAGAGGACGAGGAGGCGGCGGAGGCGGAGGAGGAGGCGGAGGAGGCGGAGAGGGCGCGGCAGAACGCGCTCCTGTTCGCCGAGGAGGAGGACGGGGAAGCCGGGGCCGAGGACAAGCGCTCCCAGGAGGAGGCGCCAGGCCATCGGCGGAAGGATGCGGAGGGGGCAGAGGAGGGCGGGGAGGAAGACGACGACGACGAGGAGATGGATCCGCAGGCGATCGACAGTCTCATCGAACTGTCCACCAAACTCCACCTGCCAGCCGACGACGTGGTCAGCATCATCGAAGAGGTGGAGGAGAAACGGAAGCGGAAGAAGAACGCCCCCCCCGGAGCCCGTGCCGCCCCCCCGGGCCGCCCCAGCCCCCACTCACGTCCGCTCCCCGCAGCCCCCACCTCCCGCCCCGGCCCGGGATGAGTTGCCGGACTGGAACGAAGTGCTCCCACCCTGGGATCGGGAGGAGGATGAGGTGTTTCCCCCAGGGCCCTACCACCCCTTTCCCAACTACATTCGGCCGCGGACACTGCAGCCACCCGCATCCTCCCGCCGCCGCCACTTCCACCACGCGCTGCCACCTGCGCGCCACCACCCCGACCTGGAGGCCCAGGCCAGGCGCGCGCAGGAGGAGGCGGACGCGGAGGAGCGCCGGATGCAGGAGCAGGAGGAGCTGGAGAATTACATCGAGCACGTGCTGCTGCGCCGCCCGTGACTGGCCCCGGCCCCGGCCCCGCGCGCCCGCCCCGAGCGGGGCGCGCCGCCACGCCCCCCCCCTCCGTGTCGCTCCTCCTCCCTCCCGGTGTTTGCATGCGCCCCGGCTCCGCCCCTCGGCTGCCGCCCGGCCCCGCCCCACGTGACCCCGCCCCGAGCTCTGTCGGGACCGGACCTGTCAGACTTCCTCCGGGTCTGCGGTCCAGAACTCCCCAAACTCACGGGCGACCCCGGGGCCGTCCCAGGCGGGTGGGTGTTTCTGTGCGAGTCCCCTTACGCCCCCGCTTCCTCCAGGGGCCTCGTCCCCACTTAGTTCCTCTTGAGACTCCCAGGTCCCAAACGGGGATGTCTGGTCTCATTAATCTTGTGAAGTGTCTGTCTCCCAGCCTCGGGGCCCCCGGAGCCTCCCCCTTCTCCAAATCGCTGTGAACCCACCCACTCCTTGCCCTTCTCTGTTGTAAATACCCCTCACGGAGGAAATAGTTTTGCTAAGAAATAAAAGTGACTATTTTATTAGGACTTTGTTTTCCGTTATTCACCCGTCCCCTTGGGCCTGCTTGGTCCTCTCCAAGGGGCGGTGAGGGAAGCGCCAGTCACCACCTGGTTTCCAACTCTCTGACCACAGCCAGAACTGGGTAGGAGAAAGGTGTGAACCTCTTCCTGGGAAGGGAATGTTCTGGAAATACCTATGACAGAACCCTACTTTGGGGCCGGTGAGACGGTTCAGTGGGTAAAGGCACATGTTGCCAAGCGTGACATGAGTGTGACACTAGGGATCTTCCCACAGGATGGAAGGGGAGGGTTGACATGTGCACCGCTGTATACCCACCCACTCGCAAAACAAACAAATGTAGAAAAAAACAAAACAGAACTCTACCTTCCACGACCATCTTGTGTCAGAGGTCGAGCCATAGTTCCCAGTGTTTGGGCCAGGTAAGAGTGGAAGCCAACAGGCGGCATGGTTTGGTTGGTGGCATGGCTTAGTTGGTATGATGCTGCCTACTATGCACTTGGTCCCTAGGTCTAGTCCCATAAAGTGAATTCAGGGTCAGGGGGAAAAAAAGGACAAACAAAAAAGAAATAAGAAAAGAGCCAAGAGTCTGGGATAAGCAAGTATCTAGAACTCAAAAGAAAAACGGTACCACATGAGAGATGTTCCTTATTGGGTACCTGGACGGCTCCCCCACCCCCGTCATCCATCCTTCCCTTCATGGCCCCCTGAATTCCCAGAAATTTGGGGAGGAGCTGACCCCCACACACTTTGCTTTTAACTATTCCTCAATTACCTCCCCAAACAAAACAAAAGAGGCAAAAGGAAATCCTCCACACGGACATCTCAGCATAGAGAAGCTAAGACTTTCAGACTTCTCCTTCCCAGGTATGTGCAGTCACAGGCAGTGCGGGAAATTTTGGGGGGCAGGGCTACCAGAAGCACAAAGGGCACTCACTGAAACTTCAATTCCAGATAAGCAATAGCTCCCCATCCCCAATACCCTCTTAGTGTGCACGGGACACACTAATTACTCTGATGGGGCTGGGTCTGTGATAGAGCATTGACCTCGAATGCAAGAGGCCCAGGGTTCTGATCCCTAGTACTGCAAAACACAAAATCAACTCCTATGGCTGCGCACGTGGCTTGGTTGGTCCAGTGCTTTCCCGGCATATATGAAGCACTTCATAAAACAGGTACGATGTTCAACACTTATAACCCCAGCATCTCTAGCGGTAGAGGCAGGAGGATCAGAAACTTCATGTTTATCTATCCTCCCATCCATATTGAGTGTGGGCCAGCCTAGACTATGTGAGACCCTGTTTCAAAATATAACGAAATTCCAAACGCATCTGCTGGGTGGGATGTGGTTGGCACATCACAACCCCAGCATCCAGAAGGTACAGGCAGCAGAGTCATCCCTGGGACCCAGGTCACTCTGCAGCAAACCCTGTCTCAAAATACAAGACGAGGGAGGGCTCAGAGCTCAGAGGGCAGCGTCTGCCTCACGCACAAGGCAGGGTTTGACTATCCTAGGACGCAGAACACAACCAAACAGTAAAACCTGTTGTGTAGCTGACATTCTATTTTTAGCTTTTCTTCCTGACTACGAGGACCCAGGTCCCAGGAAGACACTAGCAGGAAGCTGTCCTTGACCTCAGGGTGGACACCAAGTCTGCTTCAACAAAGACAGAGGCAAGACAAATCCAGAAACACTTTTTCCTTTTATTTCAGAAGAAAGGAAATAAAGGCAGCCGCTTGGCCAACTCCACCACATCCACAAAGCGGAGTGGGGGTGGGGGATAGGGCCAGTGTCCCACAAAGCAGCCCTTCCCCCAACTTGTCCCTTCCCTCCAGGTGGCAAGGTTACAAAAACATTAACTAGTGGTTCCTCCCCTGGCTCTGGCTGGACACTGGAGCCCAGGAGGAAGTGGGGGCAGGAGAGGGAAACCCCCTCCCAGGCAGAGAAGCTGCCCTGGCTGGCTATGGGGAGGGGTGGAGGTAGGTTTTGGGGCAGAGGGGAGAAAAGAGCCCTGGAAACCTTTTCCCTTTAACCTGACGTATTTATATATTTACAGCAATGGAGGACAAGGGAAGGGTGGAGGATGGCTGGGGTAACATTGGTTCCCCCAAAGAGGGGAATGAGAGCCACTCAGGATCCCATCCAGGTCACATTTTACTGCCTTCTGGTCCTAAAGCCTCCACTGGGAAAGGCAGAGGATGGAGGGAGGGAATGTTGGAATCAAGGGCCGGAGCCACAGCTCCTTCCAAAGGTGAGGTGGCCGAAGAAAAGCAGCCGGCTCCCACCAAGAGAAGGGGTCGGGGGAGGCGGGGGAAACAGTCCACAAGTGCTGTCTCTTGGCTTCCCCAGTTCCACAGGGTCCCCCGGCTGGCTGACGGGGCTATGCCAGGCCCATCTCCTCCAGGACACTGCGTGGCGACTCATCCTCCTGAGACAGACAAGGGTGACGCAGAGAGAGACACCAGGAAGGGCAGACAGGGTGGGTGAGAAGAAGGGGTCAGAGTCAGAGGAAACAGTCAGTTGAGGGGGCACCACAGGCCTCATGATGTCACTCCCAACACCCACAGTGGCAAGGACAGGTACAGACCAAGTTCATCACCACCCGTAATCTACGGCTCTGAACTGGGGAGCAGGTGTGCAGCCTCAGAACCCACGGGCAAGGAGCACGGAGCCGGAGGGTGCAGAGGAACCCTAATCCCCAGGAGGGAGGTAGTGTGGATGCTTGGTCCACGCCTTTCAGAGTGGCGAAGGCAGGGAGACATGGGTAGCAGCCTGCCCGGGGAAGTGAAGGCAGACTTCAGAGTGATGAGTCACTAGGGTCTAGTAACTAGGGGACACACATGCATCTGTGTGTGTGTGTGTGTGTGTGTGTAAGGGAGTGAAGGGAACCTATACTAGTGGGCTGACCTCAAATTTCATTCCACCATTTCTCCCCCTACAGAGCCGGCCTCCCTCATCGCCCCCCTTTCTCCCCCTCCTCAGAGCCAGCTCAAGCCAGCTTGCTCGTCCCTGCAGAGTCCTGGTGACTCATCTCCCTGCACCAGGGCTCAGCAGCAGCATAGCAGAGAGGGGACAAGCAGCGATGGGTAGAGGGCTGGGGGTGTGCCAGGTAGCAGGGAGAACGAACAGATGCCCTCCAAGCCGGCCCCAAGTTCCCACGGCCGTTTGTCCCTGAGCAACAGAGGGGTGTGTGTGCACATGTTAAAAGGGAGGATTAGGCAGAGCTGGGAAGACTGCTCAGTCATTAATGCATCTGTCGTGTAAGCATAAGGACCTGAGTTCAGATCCCCAGCAACCTTGTAAAAGCCTGGCATGGAGGTATGGGCCTGTAGTATGGGAGTTGAGCCAGGCAGATGCCTGGAGCTCAGTGGCTAACCAGCCAGGCTGGATGGGTGAACTCCAGGCTCAAGGTGAGACTGTCTGAAAAAGTAAAGACAATGATTGTGGAAGATACCCAATTTCAACCTTTGGCCTCTACATACATACCTGTGCACATATACCCTTCACGTTACACACAGGAACATACAGACAGGCAAAGTAGGGATCAAGGCCCGGCGAGGGGGGGGGAGAGAACGACAGACAGACAGACAGACAGACAGAGGCTTATCTACCATGAACCATTCTCGGATTCTCTGAATAACCCTTACCATCAAGAGAACCATTAAACCAAAGGAGACTGGGCCAGGATAAGACAGACATCTTGGGAAGGGGACACAGCTCGGAATGAAAGAGGACTAACTGGCAGGAGTGGGGGACGGGCCCACCCACCTCCTGCTCCAGGGTTCAGGACCCAGGACAAGTTAGACAGCAGGGCGTGATGGGGGCCAGACGCCACAAGGAGGGGGGCCCACTCGTCGACGGGCACGGTGTCCAGGGGAGGGGGAGTCCCCTCGGCCACAGCGTTCCTCCTCCTCCTCCTCCTCACTGTCCCTGGCTCGTACCTCCTGCAGCAGGTCAGCCTGCTCAATGGCCTTAAGCACACTCTTCTTGGAGGTGTCCTGGACGTCCCCACCCATCAAAAACTCATCCAGGATGAAGTAGGCTTTCTCAAAGTTGAAGATGATGTCCAGCTCACACACCTGGAGATGGGGAGAGGGCAGAACTGAGCATCAAGGTGTCCCCCAGCCTTCCTCCTTCTGCTTTAGGTCCCTAGCCATGTAGTCCAGGCTATCCCTGAATTCACTATATAGCTGAAGCTATCCTAGAGCTGGCTCTCCTGAGATTATAAGCACGCGGCTCCACACCGCACCACGTGGGGCGCGTCCGGCAAGCACGGCTGAGCTGCAGGCTGAGCCCACAGAGAGCTTCTCCCGAGTCTTAGTGTCTTAGATCCTCCCCTCCGTCCTCTCGGCGGCTCTCTCTCAGCCCCTAATCTTCCCGCCTCAGCGCCATGCCTTCTCATCCTTTTTTTTTTTTTTACACAAACCTATACACATTTGTTCATAGGACTTAATACAGCACAGTACACATGAAAATTGGGAACACTGCTCATTAAACCTAACTTTAAATTTCAGTTTGAAATACAAAATGGAGTTTCTCTAGAGAAACGACCAGTATGAAATGCACCTTACCTTGCTCATGTATCAAGAGAGCATTGGTAAAAGCCAGTGACCCAGGCTTCTCTCACTTTCAGTTGAAACGAGCATCATGGTAAGTATAAATGAGTAATTTCTTTTATGGAGTAGCAGAGAGAGTGAGTAACCCCTTCAGGAAGGAGACTGTTTCATTTCCTCCCAGCTTGCCTCCTCGTCCTTTTATAGCCTGCCTCCTATTCTGGACCAGGAAATAAAAGTCTGTGGTTGCTGTTGCCTTTCTCTTAAAATCTCCAACATGGCTCTGCCAGACCCTGGGCTAGCTTCTAGCCTAAGCATCTTGGGACGGAGGAGAATATCAATGGTCTTTGCTTTAGAAGACCCACGGTGATCTCTGTGAGTATGAAATTAACTATGCACATCATAGAATATCTATGAGCCTCGGTTTCCCCAAAAATGGAGATGGCAATCGTGACTCCTTGGAAAGATGAAGAACCAACCAGAGAACCTCAAAAGGATGTGGGGGTGGTGTAGGTCTCTTATCTCAGACATTCAGGAAGCTAAGGCAGAGGGTGGCCTCCTGGGCTATGGAGTGAGTTCAAGGTCAGCTTGGGCAATTTAGTGAGATCCTGTCTCAAAATAAAAAACAAAAAAGGGGCTGAGGACATGGGTCGGCGGTAGAGCACAAACTAACTTGATGTGTGAGGTCAAGGTGCAACATCTAATGTCACAAAATCAACTCAGCCTGGTGGCTGAATGCTGGCTGTGGTGGCGTGAGTAAGAACGGCCCCCACAGGCTCGTTTATCTGAATGCTTACTCACCAGGGACTAGAACTGTCAGAGAGCATGAGAAGGATAGAGAGCTGTGTCACTGCGGTGGGCTTTGCTCTTGATTCAGCACCTGCCTGCACGCCACCACTCCCCACACCCACGATGATAATGGAGCTGTAAGCAGGCTCCCAATTAGACGCTTTCTCTTACAATAGCTGCCTTGGCCATAATGTCTTTTCACAGCCATACAACAGTGACTAAGACACCTGCTTAGCATGGGTCAGTTCCCAGAACCACGTAAACTGGGTACGGTGGCCATAACTGTGACCCCCAGGACCTGGGAGGTGGAGGGGAGAGAACTGGGAGTTCAAGGCCGCCCTCAGCTGCAGTGAGATGCAGACCAACCGAGGATAATACACACGTGCTACTCGGTCTTAGAAACAAAAAAAGGAAGTGGGTGGTGGTGGCACACACCTTTAATCCCAGCAGAGGCAGGTGGACCTTTGTGAGTTCAAGGCCAGCCTGGCCTACAAAGCTACAGAGAGAAACCCTGTCTTGAAAAACCAAAAAAACCAAACAAAACCCAGGCAGTGATTAAAGGCGTGTACTAACAAGCCCGGTCATGGGGTATATATATATTTTTAGTACTTTAGATGTATTTATTTTTATGTGCATGAGTGTTTTGCCTGCATGCATGTATATGTACCACCTGCTTGCCTCAAGTCCGAGGAGTTGGGTCCCCAAGACCCATGTCAACAAAGCTGGGTAAAACGGTGCTGGATATAATGTAATCCCATGCTGGGGGATGTGGAGACAGGCGGGTCCCCAAGCTGAGCTGAATCAAGGACTTCCGGGTCAGTGAGAGACCCTGCCTCAACAATCAGAAAACACCCAAACAAACAAACAAACAAAAGGCTCACAAAACAAACAAGTGAACCAAACCAAGGAGGGAGCTGAAGAGATGGCTCAGTGGTTAAGAGGACACACTGTCCTTGCAGAGGACATGAGCTCACTTCCCTACGAGCATGTGCCGGGGCTCACCACCACCCATGACTCCGGCCCCAGGGAATCTGATGTCCTCTTCTTTTTTGACCTCTGTAGGCATCTGCACTCACATGACATACCTAGACAGACATGCACCTAGACGGACACGCATACACATCAATAAAATCCAACTGACTGTGGTGACGCACACCTTTAATCCCAGCACACAGGAGGCAGAGGCAGGTGGATCTCTGTGAGTTCTAGGGCAGCCTGGTATACAGAGCTGGTTCCAGCTACACAGAGAAATCCTGTCTCCAAAAACCAAAATAAATAAATAACGAAAAAAAAAGACAGAGTGAAGGTCACCTGAGGAACACGAATTTGTGTTGTGAACACGCGCACGTGCGCACACACACACACACCTTCTCCATGCATGCACACACACACTGACATACACACACCCCCCCTACCTACCTCTCCATGTACACATGCATATACTGACATACATTCTCTCTCTCTCTCTCCAGAATATCCCTGACATGTTTCCTGACATGCCACGGTCAGGAAACCCTGTAAGATGAGACCCTGGTCCCTGCCTATACTCAATGCCAGTCTCCCTCTGCTGCCACCTCTCCACCCACTGAGGTACACCCCCAAGCTGATTAAGGGCCACAGCTAATAGGCTTAGAGCTTAAAGGGGAGATTAATTACAGGTTCTGTGCCCCAACACCACCTCCCAACTGAGACTTCCAGGGCAGGGCCCAGATGAGTGCTTGGCAGGACGATGGGACGGCTCGGCATGGGCACAGGGGTTCATGGGGAGACTTACACTGCCAAAATACTTGTCCAAGAGCTCTACGTATCGGTGGATCAGCTCCAGTGTGATCAGCTCATTGTCCTGACCCTCGATGGCACAGCAGAAATAGAGACTGGCGTACCTGGGGAGGAAGCCGGGACGCAGTGAGGAGTGGGCTTCAGGGCCCCGGGGTTCCAGACTCAGCCTGCCCACCAGGCTGAGGTCCTCCAACTGTCCTAGACATGGTGGTCCCAGCCGTACAAAGACTAACATCTTCCCAGTGAGCTTCAGAAATACAGTAGACCCATTTCCTCTCCTTCTTGCCCTCTGCCCCGCCTGGCTGGACTCAGCATAAACCTGGCCAGTTTACGTGCTCAGAGCAGAAGGGGCTGGAAAGGATCTGTGTGGGAGTGTGGGCACGTGTATTGGGAAAGATGGGGTGAGGCCTCCGTATGGCCAATGAGACCGGGAGGGACCTGTATGTGGGTGGGAAAACCTCCAGGGGATGTGTGAGAGGCCGTGTCAGAAAACCAAGTGGGAAACAATAGTTCAGATGAACTTAGAAAGAGGAAGAAGGCATTCATGACCACCCTGTGGATTCTCTCTCCGACTTCAGAGACAGAGTTATTTCTCAGTCATTTTAACCCAATGTGAACTCCAGCACAATTCATGTACACTTAGTAAATAAGTGGCTGGCTGGCGTGTCACCTTTTGTAGACAACTTTGAGGTCCCTCCACTCCAGGAAGCTGCACATCTTGGGCTTCCGAGCCAGCACAACCTGCATGAGCTCCCGGACCATCTTCTTCCTCTCCTTGTCTGAGGTGGCCAGGTACCATTTTTGCAGCCGAAGTTTCCCCTGCCGGCTGAACAGCAGCATAAATCGCATCTGGAAGGGAGGGAGGACCAGAGCTGAGGGGCAGAGCTTTGCATGAAGGCAAAGACCCAGCTCAGCAGTATTCATCACTGCCTTCTTCAAAACTCTGACCCAGCTGGCAACACTGGGTAGAGAAGAAGAAAGTTCTTCCTGAGGGAAAGCCAAAGATTTTTAAACCTTTGTTTGGGTTCGAATCCTGGCCCTTCTAGCTGAGTACAACTTCAGGAAAATTAATGCTGGGTCTGCAAGAGAGCTAAATTGGTGCTTGCTATGGAGACTGATGACCTGAGGTCAATACCCGTGACCCTCATTACAGAAGAGAACCGACTCCCATGAGCTGTCCCCTGATCTCTACACTCCTGCCATGGCAAGCACCCGTCCACACCAATAATGATAAGTAAACACAAGAACACTTTATTACACGTGTGTGTGTGTGTGTTTGTGTGTGTGAGAGAGAGAGAGAGAGAGAGAGAGAGAGAGAGAGAGAGGATGGCTTTTTGGAGCTGGATTCCTGCTCCAGGAATCAAATTTAGATACCAAAGCCTTGACAGCAAGTGCCTTTGCCCACTGATCTATCTTACTGGCTTTGCAAAAAATTGTCTTTGAACCTCAGCTTCTTTACTTGCAAGATAGAAACAATAAAGCTACCTTCCTTATAGAATTCTTTTAAGATTTGCTTTTCTTATTTTTCAAAGATTTATTTTACTTTATGTGTATGAAATATTCACATGTATACATGTATGTGTGCCACACACATGCCTGCTGGACCCCGAGAACCAGGGTTATAGATGGTTATGAGTCACCATGTGGGTGACAGGAATCAAACCCAGGTCCTCTGCAAGAGCAACACATGCTCTTAAGCACCGAGCCATCTCTCTAGCCCGTTATTATGTTTAAGCATATGTAGCATGTGTTGTGTGTCTATATACTGGGTATGTGCACATGAGTGCCGGTGCCCATGCAGGCCAGAGGCATCCGATCTGGAGCTACAGAGGGCTGTGAGCTGCCTGACCTGGGTGCTGGGAACTGAACTGGGTCTTCTGGAAGAGCAGCAAGCACTCTCAATGGCCGAGCCACCTTAGGGGATTCTTTTCTTTCTTTTTTTTTTCGAGACAGGGATTCTCTGTGGCTTTGGAAGCTGTCCTGGAACTTGCTCTTGTAGACCAGGCTGGCCTCGAACTCACAGAGATCCACCTGCCTCTGCCTCCCAAGTGCTGGGATTAAAGGCGTGCGCCACCAACGCCCGGCCACCTTAAGGGATTCTTAAAGGAGTTAATTTATGGGTCTGCCTGGTGCACAGTAGGCCCTGTAACATGCTAGGTGCTGCTATTATCCCTTGACCTCCTGTTTCCTAACCTTGTTTTCCATGAGGAATAAGATGCCCAGAGTCATGATAAGCTGATGTCAACAGACTACAGTTCTGCTCACGTTCTTCTAGACCCATGTCTCAGAGACAGCCGGTCTCCACCCGATCCTGACTAGCCCTCAGATGCCCCCTGACATGCGGCTCTCTGTGCCACACTTGTAGATCATCTCCTCTGTATACTGTACATATCTCCCAACTGCACTTGGTACCGAGATCGTCAGCTCTTGCCTTCCTCTGTCATCCGCACATGGTTCCTAGTGCTGGCTTTCTTTCCGGTTTTTTAAAATGTTACTTTACGGGGGGGGCATTCATGGAAGTCAGAGGATAACTCTGTGGAATCACTTCTCTCCTTCCGCTGTGAGGGTCCAGGGATTGAATTCAGGTTGTCAGGTGCCTTTACAAGCTGAGTCATCTCTCTGGCCCTCTTTTCTTTCTCTTCTTGAGGCAGCGTTTCAAGTAGCTCAGGCTGACCTATATTTCCTATGTAGCCAAGGCTGCCCTTGACTTTCTGATCCTCCTGAGTGCCGGGGTTACAGGTGTGCCCTAAAAGGGATGGCCTTTCTTCCCAGCTCCTCAGAGTGCAGTCACCCAGGATGGCTCTCCTAGGTTAGGTCTGTGGGGTAAGAGCAAGCAGAGTCCTCGTTGCTTCCTGGATTAGTTTCTCCCCAGTTGCAGGGGCTCCTGATTCCATCTCCGGAACTCAATTTCCAGCAAACAGATCTGTAGGCATGGGCCGGGCTGGAATCTCTGGGTGTGTGCGGCACTTCCAGCTTCTAGGTTATAAATTAAAAGGAACAAAGACCCCCCCAGAAACTAGGGGCGGTGGTTGGGGGGGCGGGAATGTGAAGAACTGAGGAAGCGGGGTGCAGCTAAGACAAGGTGACAACGGCGGCAGGAAGACGGAAGGCCTGGGTTCCGGAAAAGAAAATGGACTGGGGAGGGTGGAAAGCTGGGAGCACCAAAGTCAGGGAGTCTTCCCGAGCCTAGGTTCCCCACCTGGGCCGGAACTCCGAGCGAGCACAGCCCAGGAACCGAGGCAGGAGGTTAACTCCGGAGACCCGGAAACTGCCCCTCCCACACCGCGGTCCCGTGCGGGCCTCCCGGGGAGGGGACTCGGCGACCCGCGACCCTCCCGGTGACCCCGGTGCCCCGTTCCGCGGGCGGCTCCCTGCAGCCCTGACCGGGGGCGTCTCGAGGCCCGAACCGCGAGTCCCGAGCGCTGCAGCCTGCTCAGGACGGTCCCGCCACCCTCAGCCCGGTCCCCTCTCTCGCAGCCAACGAGACTCCTCCCCACGTCCCGAGGGCCATTTCCAGCTCCCGAGGTCGGCTCGCCCAGCCGCCCCGGGAAGAGGATCCCCAGCGGACCCCAGGGAAGACAGGGCGACTCCTACCAAACGCTGCCCCTGCGGACCCCCGCAGGCACAGCCCACGCCCCTCGGGTCCCCCGTCCCCCTCCCTCTCGGAGCTGCCTACCATCCTGCAGCCTCCGGCCCGGCGCGTCCCTCTCCGGCCACCGTAGAAGCCAGCTCCGCTCCCCGTCGGATTCTTTTCTTTTCCCTCCCTCTCCGCTTGAAGCCCCGCCCCCTCCCGGCCTCGCCGCCTCCCGGCGCGGCCGCATTGCGCAGGCGCCGACGCTGCAGCGCTCGTCCTCTCCCCGGCCCCCCTCCATCCATCCCACCCGGCACGCGGGAGGGGCTGAAGGCGGAGAAGCGGAAACCATGGCAACCAGGTCCTGGACTTCAGCTTTGCAGAAGCTCGGTTGTCATGGTGACAAGGCTGTCTGGGTGGGCTGATTGGAGGATGGGACGGGAAGGGCCTCGAGCTTTGGAGCATTTGTGGGGGGAAGGCGGGAGAAGGGTGAGAGGTGGATGCACGATCCTCAGGGTTGATGAAGAAGCGAGGGATGACTCGGGGGGCTGAACCCGGTGGGAAAGGTACGTAGAGAAGGAGGAATCACCGGCCAAAGGGTGGTGATGGGGGGAAACAGAGTAAGTAGGGCGGCTGGGGGGACAGAGTCCACGAGCAGCTCCCACATCCTGTCCCCAAAGCAGACAAGGCGGGTGTGGTGCCGCACACCTGTGGTTCCAACACTTGGAAGGCAGAGACAGGAGCAGCTTGTGGTTCCAGCGCAGCCTCAGCTAAGTGGCGTGCTCGAGAGAGCCTGTCTTAAGCAACGTGACGGCTCCAGCCACAGAGCCCCCCAAATCCTGCAAGCTGTCGACACTCTGACATCACACAGTCAAGTACCCCGGTTTGTACGCGCCACCACGCAGCACGCTCCCGAGCAAGACAAAATAACATGTGAAATGTAACCTTAAAAAAATTAGCCGGATGCCGGGCGTTGGTGGCGCACGCCTTTAATCCCAGCACTCGGGAGGCAGAGGCAGGCGGATCTCTGTGAGTTCGAGGCCAGCCTGGTCTACAAGAGCTAGTTCCAGGACAGCCTCCAAAGCCACAGAGAAACCCTGTCTCGAAAAACCAAAAAAAAAAAAAAAAAAATTAGCCGGGAGTTGGTGGCACACGCCGTTAATCCCAGCACTTGGGAGGCAGAGGCAGGCAGATCTCTGTGAGTTCGAGGCCAGGCTGGTCTACAGAGTGAGTTCCAGGACAGCCAGGGATACACAGAGAAATCCTGTTTCTCTCCTGAAGCCTCAGACTGTGTGAAATCGTGTACTGAAGTTTCCCTATACCTATAATAAAGTTTAATTTACAAATTATGCACAGAGTGAACCTAAGGACCAAACCTAATAATACGAGATTAGCGGTGATTAGCGGAGAAGAGCGGGTGCTACCCTTGGAGGGGACTCTAGTTCAGTTCCCAACGTCCCCACTGGGTGACTCACGAGTGCCTGTAATTCTAGCTGCAGGGATCCAGCACCTTCAGGGGCATCCGCACGTCTGCAGGCACGTCTGCAGGCGTGTGCCCATACACATGCGCACATGGATAAAAATAAAGATAAAAAAAATCCAAAGGATGACCTAGAATGACGGTGACAACGTGTCTCAATGGCGTTAGTGCCATCCCCGCTTTTGCGCTTTAAAAATCACTCGGCAACTGTCTCCCACATAAGGAGGGCCTGGTTTGGTCGCCTGGAGTCTCCACAGCTGTCGGTCTAGCGCTCACGAGCTCCGCCAGCTTGGCTCAGCCGTCTCTGTAGATTTCTCCATCATGAGCCTGACCTCCCTCGCTCACGCGTTTCCCTCCTCCCTCTCTTTGATTGCATTCCCGGAGCCCGGCCTGGCGCTTGGTTGTGGATCTCTGCGTCTGGTTGCATCAATTACTGGAAGAGGGCTCTATGATGATAGTTGGGACGTTCACCACGTTGATTACAGGGGAAGGTCAGTTTGGGCATCCTCTCCACTGTTGTTAGGAGACAGTTGTGAAGCTGAGGGCGCCCCTGGCGGTAGGACCATGATACAATCCGAGTACATGAGCTGGCTTCTTGGAGCCCATTCCCTATGGTGGGATGCCATGCTCAGCCTTAATGCACAAGAGAGGAGCTTGCCAAATTTTGTTGACTCCTCATGGGAACCCCTACCCTTGAGGAGGAGTGGGCTGGGCGGAAGGATGAGGGGAGACAGTAAGAGGGGTGGGAGGGAGAACTGTGGTTGGAATGTAAAACGAAATCTAAAAGAATAAATAAATTATAGAAAAAAGTCATTCTGCAAAATATGGGGTATTTGGCCGGGCGTTGGTGGCGCACGCCTTTAATCCCAGCACTCGGGAGGCAGAGGCAGGCGGATCTCTGTGAGTTTGAGGCCAGCCTGGTCTACAAGAGCTAGTTCCAGGACAGCCTCCAAAGCCTCAGAGAAACCCTGTCTCAAAAAACCAAAACAAAAAAAAATATATGGGGTATTTGAGCACGAGCACTGTGCTCAACCTGACAACCAAGATGGCCGCTAAGTGATTAATGTGTGAGTACAGACAGTGTGATGATTTGGGACGGGTGGGGGGGACCCCATAGGAATGGCATTTGATTTAAAGCTCATGAACTGGGGCTGGGGTGTGGCTCGGTTGATGGAGTGCTTGCCTCCCCTGTGTGAAACCGTGGGTTCTGCTCCCAGCACAGCATAACTGGGATGTGGTGATGGTGAACACCTGTAATCCCAGCCTTTAGGTGGAGGAGGCAGGAGAATCAGGGGCTGAAAAGCATCTCCCTCTACATAGCTAGGTCCAGGCCAGCCTTGGGCACATGAGACAACAAAAGGCCAGTGAGATGGCTTAGCAGGTAAAGGCACTGGTCCCCAGACCGACCCTGACCCGAGTTTGATTCCTGGGAGTAATAGAGTGGAAGGAAAAACTGATGCCCACAAAATGTCTGTCACCCATGTCATGGCACGTGTGCACACACACACACACACACACACACACACACTAAAATAATGCATGTGAATATAAATAAATGGGAAGCTTGTGAGTTGTTTACTTCTGGGTATTTTCCATGAGATATTTTTGGGATACAATTGACTTTAGGGAACTGAAACTACAGCGACCACAGCTAAATACAGTAGTGGGCAAGGAACAAATCTATCTATCTATCTATCTCATATTTTTATTATTATATTATATTTTTATTATTTTTAAACATTTGGTTTTTTTTTTTTTTGGTTTTTCGAGACAGGGTTTCTCTGTATTGTTTTGGAGGCTGTCCTGGAACTCGCTCTGTAGACCAGGCTGGCCTCGAACTCACAGAGATCCGCCTGCCTCTGCCTCCCGAGTGCTGGGATTAAAGGCGTGTGCCACCAACGCCCGGCTTGTTTTTATTTTAAATTGTGTGTGTGTATGTGCGCACATGTGTGTGTCTATGTATGTATGTATGTGGGTATACTCAAATGAGTCTGGGTACCCTTAGAGGCCAGAAGAGACTCTGGGATCCCCTGGAGCTGGGTCAGAGACAGCAGTGAGTTTCCTGATGTGGGTGCTGGGAACTGAACTCGGATCTCTCAATAGCAAAGCCTTCTCTCCAGCCCTGTCTTTTATTGTTATCATTCATTTTATTGTAAGTTTTAGACAGAATCTCATTATGTAGCTCTGGCTGGCCTGGAACTCGTTCTGTAGACCAGGCTGGTCTTGAACTCACAGAGATCCACCTGCCTCTGCCTCCCGAGTGCTGGGATTAAAGGTGTGGGCCATGCTCCACGCCAACCCAGCCTCACCCCCACCCAGTGACAGCTTTGTTTCTTGATCCTGGGCCATACAAATGCTATTATTTTTGTTTTCTCTTGAAGAAATTGCTAGTAGAGTCTTAGGTGTTGTCATTATTCCTTGTTCTTTGGTGTGGATGTAATATCCTGGATTGGTTGGAAGGTAACCCAAAACCCGTGGCATGGAATCTTGTCTTTAACTCTTACTAACTTTATCTCTTACTGCCTAGTTGTAGGTGAGCCATTTAGCTCACTGTCTCTTTAGTTTTAATTAAGTTATTTTTATTTTATTTGCATTGGTGTTTTGCCTGCATGTATGTCTGTACTAGGGTGTCAGATCTTGGAGTTACAGACACTTGTGGATGCCGGGAATTGAACCTGGGTCTTCTGGAAGAGTGGTCGGTGCTCTTAACTGCAGAGCCATCTCTCCAGTGCCTCCCCCATTCCTCCCAAAAATAATGAGTTGGGCTGGAGAGCTGGCTCAGTGGTTAAGAGTGCTTACTGCTATTTCAGAAGATCCAGATTCCGTTGTCAGCACCCCCACTGGGCAGCTCACAACCCACTTGTAACTCCAGCTCTACAGGATCCGACGCCCTCTGACCTCTTTGGGCACCATGTATGCACACGCTACACATAAACTCATGCAGGAACACACACACACAAAATAAATAAATAGATTTTTTAAAAAAATGAAGGGTTGGGCCGGGCGTTGGTGGCGCCCTGCTCTCCCCTCTCTGTAGTAGAGGTATGACCACACACAGTTCTCACATGTAGTAGAGGTATGACCACACACAGTTCTCACATGTAGTAGAGGTATGACCACACACAGTTCTCACATGTAGTTCCCATGAGTTGTTCCCTGAACTCCACTTGTATTACGGCAAGTGCGGTGCGTGGTCTGTCTCTGTCTGTCTGTCTGTCTGTCTGTCTGTCTCTCACACACACACACACACAAATAAACATGAAAAAGAAAAGAGAGTCAGAGAGCTAGCCAGCAGCCTGCTAAGTTTGGAAACTTCAGAGATGGGAGCCCCTACACTCCCTGGAAATCTGAGAATTTCTAGAACTCCTCATCGCATGCAGCCTGCGTAACTGCAGAAAAGAGGCAATTCACCAGAGAACTGTCGGGGAGATGAGTTTTGCAGACACGGCTTGCTGGGGTGGGGGTGGGGGATGGGCATTGTCCCTGCGTGGTTGCCTGTCTCAACTTCGTACTTCCCAAATGGGAGAGAGCAGCAAGATGCTGAAACAGATAAGGAGGTGGGCTGACAGCCCTACTGACTGTTCCCTGCTGACAGCCCTACTGACTGTTCCCTGCTGACAGCCCTACTGACTGTTCCCTGCTGACAGCCCTACTGACTGTTCCCTGCTGACAGCCCTACTGACTGTTCCCTGCTGCACCAGGCCGGTGGCTCAGTACATTGCTTGGTTAATATGATTGAAACTCTGGGTTTTCTCCCCAGCTGTCTGTGGTGGAACACACTTGTAATCCCAGAACTTGGGAGGTAGGGGCAGGAGGTTCAGGAATTCAAGGTATTTAACAGCTACATAGTGAATTCAAGATCAGCTTGGGCTATGTGCGATTTTGTATCCAAAACAAAACAAACAACCAGAAAACAAAGCAAACAACAAGAAGAAACCAGGGCCAGAGAGCATTTGCTGCACTTCCAGAGGACCTGAGTTTGATTCCCAGCACCCACGTAGGGCAGCTCACAACCCTGCCGGTAACCACAGCTCCTGGGATCCACCACGCACTTTTTACATCCTTGGGCACCTGCGCATACACGCACACACTCTCGCACAGACACAGAAACACACACTAAAGCTTAAAAACAAGCAAACAAGCAAGCGTTTTGCTTATGTAGAATGACAGAAAGGTGATGGGCTGGGTTTCTTAATTGTTTGTGAATAATGAAAGTTGAGACTACAGAGAAGTTCCTTACTGCTGGTGCCTGGGGAGGTTAGGGTTTGATGCAGTGAGCAGCTGGGAGTAATTATGGAGCTGGAGTTGGTGAACTACCTAAGGGAAATCGTGGTAAGAAGCTGTGAGACAACTCAGCAGTTAAAAGTGTTAGTCATATGGTAATATGTGGGATAATTGGAAAGCATTGATGGCGGCCTAGAAGATGATGGAGGAGGCGGGTTAGGGGTATCCGGGCACAAGGGGGAACTGGAGAGAGACAATCAGAGATGACTATGATGAGCTAGTCAGCCCAAGTTGATAAATGATCTACAAGGTGACTCAAAGAGGAGACGGAGGAGCACCTACGACTCCTTTTGTATAGATGGAGACTACAAAAGACAGCATAGCAGGGTACCACTATCCCAACCAGAGCAGCAGCAGTCAGGAGCCTCTGATGATGGGATTTTTCATTTTTTCGAAGCAGGGTCTCATGTAGCCCAGGCTTATCTCAAACTTGTTATGTAGCCAAGCCTGACCTTGAACTCCTGACCCTCCTGCCCCTACTTCCCCAGTGCTGGGGTTATTTGTATGAGCCACCACATTGGTTTTGGTTGTTGTTGTTGTTTCTAGACGAGGTTTCTCTTTGTAGCCCTGGCTGTCCTGGAACTCAATCTTTAAATGAGGCTGGCCTTGAACTCAGAGATCTGCCTGCCTCTGCCTCCCGAGTCCTGGTATTAGAGGTGTACGCCACCACCTCATCTGGTTTATGCGGTGCTAGAGATGGAGCTCGGGGCCTTCATGCATGCTAGGCAAGCACTCCACCACAGGGCACATCCCCAGCCCTCCGATGGCATCATTTGCCGTTTGAGAAAAGATGGTTTTGTTGGTAAAAAGCCATCCCAAGGCTGTCTTCCAAGTGGCTACATAGTCAGGCTGGATCTTGAAATCTTAGTCTTGATACTGGGATTCCAGGTACCTGCCACCACACCCTGCCCAGCACGACCCTTTCCGCCCAGCTCTGTGCTTCCTGCCTGGACTTTGGTCTAAAAGCCAGTGAGGCAATCAGCGCAAGCTAGGTTAGACTCTCAAAGAGTCAGAGGGTGTGTGGTGGTGCTGGTGACAGCGTCCCGAGTTCAGCAAGGACATGGGTCGGGCAGGGAGGCACAGGTGTACTTCACATGTCCTGGAAATTCTCTAAGCGTCCTGTTTCCCTGCTGTGCTTCAGTTAGTCAGTGCTGTTTTCTCTCCATGTCACAGAGAGCTGCCTGGTAAATTTCCTCACCGCGCGTTCTCCACTGACTGTATATGAGTCAGCCTCATTGATTCAGCTGGGCTGCAGGCCCCTGTGGGATGCTGTCACATGCCTTTTCCTTTCCTCCCATCACCCAGAAGGGGGTGCTTGTCTGTGTATATGTGTGTGTGTACACACATGTAAGTGTGCATGTGTGGTCTGTGTGCATGTTTACACGGGTGGGTGCGTGTGAGCTGTCTGCGTGTCCATGTGCACACATGCATGTGGAGGACAAACATGGGTGTCTTCCTCCCCTGATCTCCGCCTTGTTTATTAATTTTTTATTACATTTTGTGTGTGGACATGCCCGCTCACATGCATGCGTGTTCGTGCTTTTCACATGTGGAGGTTAGAGGGTTCTCTCCTTCCATCACGTGGGCCTCAGGGATTGAACCTGGATCCCCAGGCTTGCTGGCGAGTACCTGTCTGATTCTCCACCTCAGCTTTGAGACAGGGAGGGTCTCACTGAACCTGGAACTCACCCGCTGTCTAGGCCGGCCAGCGAACTCCCGGGGACCTGCCTGTGTCTGCCTCTCCAGCACAGGGATTACAGGTAAACACTGCTGCACCCAGCTTTACACACGGTCTGTGGGGACCGGAATCAAGTCCTCCCATTTGCCCAGCAAGTACTTGTCAGTAGGCTGAGCTCTCAGAACAGTGTTTTTTGACTACCTCCATTTGCGACCCACATAGAGGAGTTTTGGTATAGATTAAGAGTGGGTACCCTAAAATTCCTGCCTTACTTTCCCAATGTGACAGCATTGGGAAGCAGGGCCTTTAAGATGGGAGATTAGGGTCAGGGCTGGAGAGATGGATGGCTCAGTGGTTAAGAACTTGTTGTGCCTGCAGAGGACCCCGGTTTGATTCCTAACACTGCATGGTGCCTCACAACCTTCTGTAACTCCAGTTCCAGGGGATTTGATGCTCTTTTCTGAAATCAACAGAAAGCAGACATACCTGTGGTACACATACAGACAGACAGGCAGACAAAATACTCATAGAAAAAAAAAGAGGTGGTTGGGGGTAGCTGTGGTTTGAAGCTGAAATGTCTCCTACAGGGTTGTGTTTTAAGCACTCTGTCCCCAAGCTGTGGAGCCTGTGAGGAAGTGTGGTGTGGTGGTTAGTGCTGATTGACAGCTGGACACAGTCGAGAGTGCCTCCAGGTCAAGCATGGGGAGAATTATCTTCAACTGGTGATGAAATGGAGTGGAGAGACCCTTCCACTGTGGGCGGCACCATTCCCTAGCTGGGGTCCTGGACCCTGTAAGTAGACAGGAGGTAAGCGCTAGCGTTCCTCACTCTTCCTGGTTGTGGGTGTCACGTGACCAGCTGCTTCCTGCTCCAGCTGCCTAGCCGTCCTCATCGCGGTGGACTTGAACTATGAGCTAAAAAGTCAACCCTGCCTTACAAATGCCTCTGTCGGCGGCGTATTTGACCAGAGCAGCGGGGCTGACAGGAGTACACCTCCAGGTCTTCAGGGGCGACACCCGCCCCTGGTCCCCTCCAGCTTTCAGGCTCCTGGTGTCTCACCATGAGAGGAGCCGCTGCGTCATGCTCCCACCACCTTGGGGGGAGCCATTCCACCGTGTCTCCCCGGGGTGCTGGACCGCAACCCGCGGGAACCATCTATGATGGCTAGTCTCCATTGTCAGCCAGGACACGAACCTTTGTGTGTGACTGGGAGGCATTTTCAGAGTTTAACTGAGACAGGAAGGCGCACCCGGATGCCGGTGACGTCATCTCACCCACCGGGACTCCAGACTGAATAGACCGGAAGCCGGAAGCCGAGCACAGCATCCTTCTCTCTCTGCTTCCTGACTTCAGATGCCATGTGAGCCGCCTCACCCTTCTGTTGACATCCGCTCCCCACCGTGATGGCCTGTGCCGCTCCCCACCGTGATGGCCTGTGCCCCTCCCCACCGTGATGGCCTGTGCCCCTCCCCACCGTGATGGCCTGTGCCCCTCCCCACCGTGATGGCCTGTGCCCCTCCCCACCGTGATGATGTCCTGTACCCCTCCCCACCGTGATGATGGCCTGTACCCCTCCCCACCGTGATGGCCTGTGCCCCTCCCCACTGTGATGATGGCCCTGTACCCCTCCCCACCGTGATGGCCTGTGCCCCTCCCCACCGTGATGGCCCTGTACCCCTCCCCACCGTGATGATGGCCTGTGCCCCTCCCCACCGTGATGATGGCCTGTACCCCTCCCCACCGTGATGGCCTGTGCCCCTCCCCACCGTGATGGCCTGTACCCCTCCCCACCGTGATGGCCTGTACCCCTCCCCACCGTGATGATGGCCTGTGCCCCTCCCCACCGTGATGGCCTGTGCCCCTCCAGTCTATTGTGGCCACAGCCTGAGCTTGGGGCTGACTTGTCAGGTCTTTTATCACAGCAACACAAAAGTAAGTAACGCAGCCATTAGGGGAATGATGATGACTTTCTCGCTCCTTTGAGCCGGATTAGTCATTGGAAGTGCATTGTTATAAATGGAATCCACCCTCCCCGTTTTCTCTCCTCTGCATGCATCCATTTGCCCTTCCTCTCCACCGCCCCCCCAGCTGGAAGCCACAGCAGACCCCCGCTGAATAGACGCCGGCACTGTGCTCCTGCCCGTGTCAGCCTCCAGGGCCACGGCCGTCAAGACCCTCTACTCTATATGAATTGCTGAGTCCTAGCTGGGAGTGATGGTACACACCTGCCATCCCCTCATTTGAGAGACTGAGGCAGGCGAATGACAAGTTCAAGGCTATCCTGGCCTAAGAAGTGAGGCCTAGTCTCCTAAAACAAAACAACCCTAAAAGACAGAACGATAAAACAAGACCCGTGTGCGTGCATGTGCCTGTGTGTGTGTGTGTGTGTGTGTGTGTGTGTGTGAGCGCGCGCGCGCGCGCAGTGGTACACATGTGGAGATCAGAGGACCCTGCTCAAGTTGGTTCTTCCCATCCCATATGGGTCCTGGGTCCTGGCTGGGCTTGAACTCATGTCGTCAGACTTGGTGACGAGTGCCTTTGCCCACTGAGCTGTCTCAATGGACCACTAATACTGGTTTTTGTTTTTTTTTGGGGGGGGGGAACTTGGTCTCAAACTTGCCATGGAGCCAAGGATGGCCTGCAGCTTCTGATCCTCCTGCCTCCGTTACAGGAGTGCTGGGATCGCAGGCCTGTGCCGCTATGCCTGCTTTGTACGTACTGGGCAAGCACTCTTCCAGCTGAACTACACCCCAGCCCCTTGTTTGTCTTCTAAGTGAAACCACAGAGGCCAAAATCTGGGCAAGATTTTGTTTGAAGACACAGCTGTTTCCACCCAGAAAAGAGCATTCCGCTGGAGTCAGTGTGACGACTGGTGGGGGAGGGGCGGGGGCGGAGTGCAGCGATGACACATTCGCTTCACCAAGGAAGATTCTGTTTAGGCTACAGAGTGACATATGCGAATTTAGGTGCTGGAGACTGGAACATGAGACCAAAATGGTTTGCCTGGCTGTATATAAGCTCTTAAAATACACACACACACACACACACACACACACACACACACACACACACACACACTGTAACAACAACAAAATGGTTGATTGACTGGTTGGCTGATTGCGGTGGTGGGGGCAGTGCACATACCATGTCATGTATGTGGAGATCAGAGGACAGCTTCCAGGAATCAGTTCCCCCCTTCTATTGTGTGGGACCCAGACGTTGAACTTGGCTCCTCAGGCCTGGCGGCAAGCGTTTCCACCCACTGAGCCAGCTCACTGAGCTATCACACGGGCACTTCTAAGCACTTTCGGTGTCTGGAGAGACTTTCTCTCCTTCATAAATGCCACAGAGAGTCAAGACACGTAGCGACAGAAGTACAGATGTTGTACTCTGTGGTGCTGTTAGGTAATTATGACAATATTAGTAGGAATTAGGGTACACTAGTTGCCATCTATAGTCCCAACTACTTAGCAAGCTGAGGCAAGAGGGTTGCTTAAGCCCAGGCGATCGAAGCCATCCTGGGCAATATAACAAGACACTATCTCAAAAATACTATTGTTATTAGAACCATCCAGTTTCTCAATTTCTGTTTTTCTTTAAGTCAATACAGACTTCTTTAAAAAGTTTTTTTGCATTTATTTATTTATTTGTGGGCATGCATATGCCCTGTGTGTGGAGGGCAGAGGGCAGCTTGCAAGAGTAGGCTCTCAGCTGGGCGGTGGTGGCGCACGCCTTTAGTCCCAGCACTCGGGAGGCAGAGGCAGGCGGATCTTTGTGAGTTCAAGGCCAGCCTGGTCTACAGAGCAAGTTTCAGGACAGCCTCCAAAGCATCTCTGCAAACATGTTTGCCACTGTTACTACAAAGGATCTTACTTGATGGACCACTGGAAAAAATGGTTTAGGGTCTGGAGAGGTGGCTCAGCAGCTAAAAGCACTGACTGCTTTTCTGAGGACCTTAGCTCAATTCCTAGTACCCACACAGCAGCTAATAACCACCTGTAACTAATAATTCCAGTTTCAGGGAACCCAAAGTCCTCTTCTGCCTCCTCAGGCACTGCACGGATGTGGTACGCAGACAAAACAAATAAATATACAAATAATACTTAAAAAAGATTTAACTGAGCTGGGTCTGATCTTCATAACTGTTGTTCCAGCTCTCAGGATGATGGCAAGTTCCAGGCTAGCCTGGGCTACATATTAATACCCCGTCTTAAAACAAAACAAACCTTCCAATGATTAGTGAGTCCTTCAACTCTAGCACTCGTAAGGCAGAAGCAGATGGATTTCTATGAGCTCGGGGCTAGCCTGGGCTACATAGTGGGACCCTGTCTCAAAACAGGCACAGCCAAAATCCCATAATGAGTAGATTGGCATGGTGTCACACAATCCCAGCACTCAGAAGTGTGAGGCAGGGGGATTGTGGATTCCAGTATAGCCTCGGCCATTTAATGGTATCCCATTTAAAAAAGGAAGGAAGGAGGGAGAGAAGGAAGGAAGGGGGGAGGGAGGGAAGGAAGGAAGGAGGGAGGGAAGGAAGGAAGAATAATGAAAGAAGAAAAGAAAAAGTTTGGAAACGGGTCTTGTCTCCGTGACAGGTGTGATCTTTATAGGATATTTTTATGTGGAGGGTTTCCACATTCGTGTCCACTGCCTGTCCCATAAACAACCCCACTGCGTGAGAGTCATAAAAAAATAATAAGACTGGGAGGGGTGGCTGCGGACAGACCTTGTTAGCTTTTCATCTCTAAAGAAACAGAGAAAAGAAGAAAAAGTTTGGGAGGCCAAGGAAAGGAGGCCACGCAGAAGCCAAGGAGGGTGGGCCGCCGCACGCTGCGAGGCTGCCGCTGCTCGCTGAGGTCCCTCACGGTCTTTATCTCGACCATAGCTGAGAATAACCCAGAGCCCGTTAAGTGGGGCAGCGCCTCGCTGGACTCCTCTGCCGTGAGGGGACCTTTGAAGAATCCTTTTTCTCTCGAGCCTTCTCAGCAGGGGAGGCCATTTTTGAGCTGTGTATCGGAGAATTAGGACTCACGAGTCCTGCTTTTTTCTTTCTTCCTTCCTTCCTTTCTTCCTTTCTTTCTTTTGTGTAGAGTTCCTTCTAAGTTTTTAAAAGAAAATCTCTTATTATAAATGGGTCACTATCCAGCCTTCAGCCCGAGCGATAAAGAGATTGTATCTGGGTCCCAGTGTCCTTGAATTCCTAGACATTTGTCTTCCCGACCCTAGCTACCCACCAGTGAGCCAAAGGGAGGCAGGGGGATGGAAACTAGTGTCAGATGACGGTGTTTTCTTCCTTCTTTTACATTTGTGTGTGTGTATGTGTGTATGTGTATGTGTGTGTATGTGTATGTGTGTATATGTGTATGTGTGTGTGTATGTGTGTGTATGTGTGTATATGTGCGTGTGTGTGTATGTGTGTGTGTATGTGTGTGTGTATGTGTATGTGTGTGTATGTGTGTATGTGTGTGTATGTGCGTGTGTGTGTATGTGTGTGTGTGTGTGTGTGTGTGTTCGTGAGCACAGTTATGTACATATGGAGGTCAGAAGATGATACATGTTTCCTCTCCACCATGTCAGTCCTGGGAGTGGAACTCACACCCATGCTTGGCAGCGAACGCCTCTACTCAGAGTCTTCCTGCCTGCCCTCAGCTCAACTTTGGGTGGCGCTCTCAGTGTGAAACTGCCTTGTTTGACTCTCTAGGCTAAGCTAATCCAGGGGTTTTGATGCTTTTTCCCTTTGTCCTTTCAATGTTGTCATTTTCCTGTTGTGTGCTAGGGACACATGTCATGTCCGTACCCTACCACGGAGCCAAGTCCCCAGCCCCTCACTGACCAATTCTACCCAGCCTAGAGGACTCTTGCCTGGAATGCTGGAAGCTCTGACTTGGAATCCCAGCCCTGCACACGCGCACACCAGAAATAAATAAGCCCTCAAGCCCTAAACTGGAGTCAGAGAGAGAGAGGAAGTTTCTAGGAAGGTCTTTAAAAGTGGCTATGGAGCTAGGTGGTGGTGGCGCACTCCTTTAATTCCAGCACTCGGGAGGCAGAGGCAGGCGGATCTCTGTGAGTTCCAGGCCAGCCTGGTCTACAGAGTGAGTTCCAGGACAGTCAGGACTATTACACGGAGAAACCCTGTCTTGAAAAAAACCAATAGTTAGTTAATTAATTAAATACAAGTGGCCATGGAGAGTGTACAATGTGACAGAAGAGTCTTGGTTCCTGGGAACTTGATGTCTAAATGGGGCTGGGCACGTGAGTTCAAGCATTGTTATAGCCTGGAAAGCTAAACCTGATTGGGCTCACATTGAAGGTTATCCCACTGGCTGGCTTTACAGGACCATCCCAGAAGGAAGTACAACCTGATCCGGGGCTGGAAGTGGAGAGCAGGGTGGAACGGGGTAGAAAGGGGTGGGAGTGGGGGGTCCGTGATGGAAAGAATGACAGAGGAATCCATTCAAGAGTTCAGAGATGATAGCGATTAGACCTTTGGGTGTGGGTGGGAAGGGTTTGCTGGATCTGGATCTCTGTCTCGACCTCTCTTCCTCTTTCTCCCCACCCCTTTTCTTCCCCTCCTCCTCCTCCCCTTCCTCCTCCCCCTTCCCCTCCTCCTCCCCCCTCCTCCTCCTCCTCCTCCTTCTCCTTGTTTTCACACATCCCAGGCTGATCCTGAACTCACTATGTAGCAGAGAATGACTCTGAACTCTTGATCTTCCTACCTCTACCTCCCAAATGCTGGGCTCATAGGCCTGCGCCACCAAGCCTGGCTCTTCTGCTTTTGAGAGACAGTCTCACTGTAAAGCCCATTGTGATATCCAACTCTGAACCTTCAACAAGTGCTGGGGTTACAGGCACGCCCCACTGACTCTTCCGCCCTCCCTCCCTCCCTCCCTCCCTCCCTTCTTTCTTTCAATTAATCCCCCTCCATTCTTGCCAGGGTCCATGACTTTCCATAACCCTGGCCAGCCTGGAATTTGCATAGACCAGGCTGGTTTCGAACTCACAGAGTTCTGCCTGCCATCTGCTTCTCAAGTGCTGGGATTAAAGTTGTGCGCCACCAAACCCAGCTTACTTTTCCTTCTCCCCACGCCCCTCTGTCTCTCTTCTTTTTTTCAACTTCTGTTTTTCTGGAGACAAGGTCTCACATAGCCCAGGTTGGCTACAAATTCACTACATGGCCTAAGATGATCATATATTTCTGAAATCCCCCTGCTCCACCCCCAAGCACTGGAATTAGAGGTTTGTGTCACCATGCCTGGTTTGATGAAGTGCCAAGGAGCAAACCTAGAGCTCTGTGCATGCTGGGCATGTGTGGACCAAGCTGCATCCCTTCCCCCGCTTTAAAGATGGCTCCTGGGGGAGAATCGAACCCTGCACAACTTGTCCTTGAGGTAGGACACACGGCTGCGGTGACTTTCTCAAGGATTGTCCCATGGTCTTATACCTGTGTGGTGTGCGGTTCACCAAAGTCCCTACTCTGGGGGTCTGCTATGGTTTTTTTTGTTGTTTTGATTCCAGTTTATACCTGAGGCTGAGCTAGCTTAGAACTGGAGATCTTCCTGCCTCTGCCTCCCATGTGCTAGACTACAGGCTTGTGATCAGGAATGGATTGTTTTTACTTACATTTATTTGTGTGTGTGTGTGTGTGTGTGTGAACACACAAGTGTGTGTTCAACATGCATGTGTTGAAACCAGAGGACAACTTGTAAGAGTGAGTCCTTCCTCCCTGAGGGTCCTGGGAATTGAACTCAGGTCTTTCTCATCATCTGTGTGGGTGAGTGTGGGTGCTGTGCCCTGTCTGTGCAGAGGTCAGAGGGCAGATCTCGTGGGATCCAGGCTTTGAACTCAGGCCATCAGTCTTGTGGGGCAAGTGTTTTACCCACTGAGCCGTTTCACCAGTACGGCCTTGACTCCGTGTGCTGAGTAAGACAGGGAAGGCAAAAAGCAAGCCATTTGGTTTGCATATTGCATATTGTTTTTATTGTTTATATACCAAAAGTGGAAAAAAAAAAGCATGTTACCAACAAAATTCAAGAACATTCGACCCCACATCTGGGGCCTCTGTGGGTACATGGCATGTGGCTGTCCAGTGCATAATGAATAGGAAGAGGAGAGGGGGAGAGGAAGAGAGAGAATGAGTTTTGTTTTCTTCTTCCGGTGGAGACGTAATGCTGCAGAGTGGCCTGCTATGAGATTACATTCACGCTACCTCTTGCGCAATTTTTCAGTAAATTGGAGACTTTCAAAATGATTATCTAACTAAGGTGGTTGACTGGGAGCTGGCTGTCTCTTCCATTCCCCCCCCCCACGTGTCCACTGCTCACATACAGCAGCCGGAAATGACACATTGAAGTGACTCACCAGTGCGGCTCTGAGTCACCCAGTAATTGGAGAAAGTTCTGTCCTGTTAGGTCACACAGCCCCTAGTGCCATTCTGCTCCTGAATGCATTGGAAAAATTTGAAACCACTTTGCCCTCCCTCAAACCTCTCTCTCCCACCCAATGTTTTTCTTCTTCTTCTTCCTTTAACGTGGGCTGCCAAGCATCACCTTGGCAAGGTCCCTAAGGAAAAAAGCCACGGGAGGGGAAGGGCGCGGGAGGGGGAACCGGAGAGGGGGAGCATTGGGGTAAGGGTGTGTTAGGCTGCCGCTAGGCGGCAGTGTGAGCCCCCGTCACTGGGGCCACCCGGAGGGGCAGGCGCGTGGAGTGCGGTACCCCTGAGATACAGGGATATAGACCCCAAACGGGACACCGTGTGCCACGGCTTAAATAAAATGCGTTTTCCTTAACGGTATTTTTTTTTCTGCAACAAGCATACAAGAAGAAGGATGTGATAAATATTCAAACACACCCCTGGCGTCTCCCCTGCACCCCAGTGGGGCAACGGAGGATGAAGAGCCAGGCGCACACACACACATCTGACCTTTCACTGTTCCCAAAAGAAAAAAAGTTTGTGGGTTGAAAAAAGCTATGTAAACAAGTCACCTACACTCTGAAATAGCCTGTGCATGCGCATGTGTCGGGCGGGAGGGCACAAGAGGAGCTGGGAGCCGGCTCCATACTGGGCAAACACTTGGTCTGTCGCCTGCCGCCCTTGGGAGCTGGGCAAGGTGGTCGTCCCACGGTGCAGCCTGAGATAAGGCAGCGTTTCTTCCTTTAGCCCGTGGCACCCGCCCCAGCGACGGCGGAAGGTGCAAGAGGTGGCCGCGGTGTGACTGGAACACGAGTGACTTTTGCCCAGGTATGCTGAGTGAGGGCCTGGTGGCCCCGCCCCGTGGGGCATTGGTGGGAGCGGACGATGGCTCTGTGAGCGCTACAGTCTGGGTTAGACAGGGGAGTCTAACGCCAGTGCGGGAGTGAGACTCTGCCCTTCGAGAGTCCGAGGTCTGGGAGGCTGGTTGGAAGATTTGCCACTGTGGGAGTAAGGGAAATGCCTTCTCCTCCAGAAAGAGTGCTTGAAACAAGTCTTTTCTTCAGAGTTTCTCCAGTTTTGTCCCGAGTGAAGGCCTCTCTCCTCGCTGTCAAGGCTCCATCAGCTGGCCCATGAAGAGGATTGTCTCTGTGGACACAAGAGTCACAACAGGTCAGGATCTACAGAGGTGGCCAGGTTAGGACTGGGGGCACTGGCCGGGCTGTGACAGGGCGCTGGAATGGGGTGGGACTGAGTTCCAGAATCTTTGCTGCGTCCCTAAAGGCTCGGGGACATCTACGTGGTGGGCAGGTAAACAACGATTTTAAGAACTAGTGGGAGGAGAGGAGCATGCGATGGGGTTCTGCTCACCTGTCGGATTGTGCCGAACCACAAAGAGGAAGGGTCGGTCCATAACCACCTCCTGAGGGGCCATGCGGGCTGAGACTAGAATGGCTGAAAGACAAGGGACAATGTGTCAGGGCTGGGGATGTTGTCACTGGTGTGATCCCAAGAGATCCAATGGCACCAGTCTATCTGGTAGCAGCCCTGGGAGATGATTTTCAGGTGATTTAAAAGAAACTAGCAGTAGGTATGAAACCCAGCTCCTTGGGCATGCTAGGGAAAGAGTGCTATGACTGAGCCACACCCCAGCCCCTCACTGGGGGATTCTAGGCAGGTGATCTACCACTGAGCCACACCCCAGCCCCTCACTGGGGGATTCTAGGCAGGGGCTCTACCACTGAGCCACACCCCCAGCCCCTCACTGGGGGATTCTAGGCAGGGACTCTACCACTGAGCCACACCCCAGCCCCTCACTGGGGGATTCTAGGCAGGTGCTCTACCACTGAGCCACACCCCAGCCCCTCACTGGGGGATTCTAGGCAGGGGCTCTACTATCCTTGGTTTTTCAGGACAGGGTCTTGCTTCTTTCATCCCTCTGCCTCAGCCTCCCAAAGCATGCAGCACTACCTGGCTTCAGGTTGTTTCTTTGTTCTCTGATTATTGCCCTTAAAAGTTTCAAGACTTCCTCTGGGCCCCAGTTTGCTGTAGGATTTGGTCACAAGCATGTACGGGGCTTGCTGCTAAGCAAATTCTTTCTGCTCACTTTGCACGATGGCAGCACCTGAGGTCTGGGGAAGGGTGGTGGCTGGGTTTGCTCTACACTTCCTGTAGGGCGATTGCTGTCCTAGGTGGGGTGACACTGGCAGAGCCACGCTCACCTGTGGAGGAAGACGCCACTGTGCCGCTCTCGTTCACCTCGATCTTGACTTTTTGCAGGGCCTGAGCTACAGAGAGCTGCTCTTGGTCTGCAATGGAGGGGGGAGGCGCACACAGCTCGGATTAGTCGCCACTCTATCCCCCGGGGTGGGCGGACCCTGACCCGAGGGATCATAGCTCACCAGAAAGACTTGTGAAGTCGGCCTGGGCTATGCTGAACATGTCCGTCATGCCCAGTTTCTGCAGAGGCCCTCTGAGGTCCACTTCGGTCTCCAGAGAGAACCTGTGGACGGGAGTGGGGACAGCGTTAGTGTGGCCCTCAAATGCGGCGTCTCCCAGGACCTACCAGGCCTCCTCTAGGACAGTGGGACAGGGTAGACACTGCCAGGAGCAGGAAGAAGAGGTCTGGTTTTTGTTTGCCTTGACACAGGATCTCATGTAGCCCAGGCTGGCCCAAACTCATTATGTAGCCAGAGATGATCTTGAACTCATGGTTTCCCTGCTTCTACTTCCTGGGTGCTAGGATTTGCAGGTGGTTTATGTAGCGCTGGGGTTTGAAGCCAGGGCTTCAAACAGTTGGGCAAGCATTCCCCCAACTCAGCTGCTCCCCAGCCCTGACCTTGAACTTTTGACCCTCCTACCTCACCTCCCCAGGGTGGGATTAGAAGTCTTTGGAATCTCATCGGGCTAGGTATTGGGGGTCTGGCCTTTTTTTCCTCCTTGCCAGAAACTTCTAATATTAATGAACATTGTTCAGTCTTTCCACCCCCTCAGATGCGTGACTAATGGCTTTCCCCAAATAAGACAGCAGTTTGAACATAATTGTCTTCCGTTTGACTGCAGGAGAGGAGCAGGTTCACATTCTCCTGCGAGGGTGCTGCAGGTAACTGTGGTCTCGGGCTGATTTTGAACAGCTCACACAGTGAGACTTTGGAGGCCCCCCTTCTGCTTCCCACCTAGGCATGACTCATTGTCTCCATCTTGATGAGAAAGAAAGGCAGTCCAAGTTCAGTAGCTAAAGTAACTTAATCACCCCCCTTTCTCCAAGCCTGGCAATGGAGCATCTGGGAGTTTAGGGGAAGCCTGGGCTGGGAGCACCCCTGTAATTCTGGAATTACCCAGACAAGCTCTCTCCATCCCTTCTGATTCTGCAGAAGGAGTAAGGAAAAAGGAAAAGAAACTGTTTTTTTTGGGGGGGGCAGTGTCAGAAGCTGTGGCTTCTCCTCTGCCTGCCTGATCTTGGAATCAATCATTATTGGATGAGGAGGGGAAACGGGAGACATTTACAGATGGGCATAGAATGATTGAGAAGCCTCTCATACTCCTCTAGCTTCTGTTTTGGCTGTTTTGTTTTTGTTTTTTGTTTTTTTTGATATGGTCTCATAGAATCCAGGAACAGAATGAGGATGGCCTTGAACTCCTGAGCCTCCTCTTTCCAGCCCCCTAACCCTCATCCTTGTGCTGGGATTGTAGGTGTGCACCCCCCCATGCCTGGCTCTACCAGTGCTAGGGATCCAATCCAGGGCTGCATGCATGTGAGGTAAGCATCCTGCCAACTGAGTTATGTCTCTAGCCCTTCCCTGCACCCTCCCCCCTTATGAGACAGGGTCTTACTGATATAGCACAGGTTGGCCTTATCCTCCGTGCTAGCCTTTCAAGTGTTAGGATTACAGATTTGTGCCTCTGTGTCTGGTCTCTGTGGTATTGGATTCAAACCTGGGGTTTCATGCGTGGTAGTTGAGCACTCTACAAACTAAGCTACATCTTCAGCCTCCATAGCCAAGGCTGGTCTTGAACTCACTCTCCTGTCTCAATCTCTGAAGCACTGGGGCTGCAGGCTTGTGGCACTACGCTCCACCAGAATCAAAGCCAGGCTAGAAGATTTCCCATCAGCCTCCCACCCAAGTCTGTTCCCTGTGGATATTAGCCATCTGGGAAATTCCACATGGAGACAGTGGCTTTAGGAGAGATGGCGGATGTTGGGGTTAGGGTGTTGGAAGGAGGGATGGCTTACTTAGGCAGGACAAGGAGTCGGGGCAGTCTGGTCATGTTCCCTTTCCATTGTTTGATGAGTTCAGCATCCAAGATGTTGGTGAGGGCGGAGAGAGGCACTTTCTTATCGAAGGGCGCAGCGATGAGCATGCTGAGGGTCTCCCCATGGTAGGGCAGTTCCAGGATGTCGTAGTAGTGGCCATCGGGAGTGGTGAATTCAGCTGGGGAGATACCAAGATGGCGTCTTGGAAAAGGCTCCAGCTCACATGGATTCCTTCCTAGCCTTCCTCTGGCTTCTCTTGTCTCCTCTCCTTGTAGGAGGCCAAGCTCTCTATTCTAATTTTGGGAGTCCTTTACCCACTCTGCATCCATCCGAATGTTTCCCTTTCCTTTTTCTTTCTTTTTATCTAGCTATATAGCCAAGGATGGCCCTGGACTTACTCTTCAGCACACCTGGCTGATGAGCTGAGCGTGCAAGCCAGGACTCACTGAGACTGGGTGAGCATTCTCCCAAAGCGATATCCCACCCTTCATATCTATTTTCTCCCTCTTGGCCTTAATGATTTTCTGTCTGACCCCAGCCACTAATCTCCCCCATTCTCATCCTCTAAATGTCGACTTGCATACAGCTTTCCTGCTCACTGGGCTTGTTGGCCCCAGGTAACCACACTAGAAACCTCTGAAGAGGAGAGATGGGCTTAACAGCCGGGCAGATGTGGGTCAGGGAGCCTATCTCCATTTCCGATTCATCTGGCGTGAAAGAAACTGATATTTTCCCCTCTTCCCGAATTATCTCAGTATCTCCTGCTTGGGAAGTCACTGTGATAACTCGGGTGTGTCCACCTCCGCCACCCTCCGGCCCCCCAGTGCGACGCTGAATGCTGCCCCCGGGGTCTGCAGCTGTGAGGTGTGGGGACTGTGGACACTGGACTCACTGTAGTTGAACTTGTTGGTCTGAGCCATCATGGGCACAGAGACAGTGCTGCCATCAGACTTGTGGAAGAGGCGCTGGTGGGTGCTGGACTCTGAGAAGGGGGTCTTCCACTGGCCGTTGAAGTAGAGGGCGTTCACCAGAATGAGGCGTGTCAGCTGGTCCACAGCCCCTTTGGCAAGCAAGTCACTGATCATACCTAAGGGAGAGCGAGGTGGTCAGGAAGGAAGGTGGCTTCTAAGCATGGCAGACGCTCTCCTTCTGCTCCCTGTCCTCAAGTGAGGGATACAAAGAGCCGGGGGTTAAATGGATCAATTTGCTGTGAATCTCCGGATAGCGTCCAGCTCAATATTCTCCAACCCCCATTCCTTTCCTTCCCTCCCATCTGTCTTCCTCCCCCCCCCCCTTTTAATGGTACAGCCTAGTACAGAATTCACTCAGAAGCCTAAGCTGGCCTTGAATTCATGGTAATCCTCCTGCCTCAGCTTCCCGAGAGCTGGGATGATAGGAGTGAGTCACACCCCTGGCTTCACCCCATTTTTCTTGGCTCTGGGATCCAGCTCCGCATCAGAACTAAACCCTCCTCTGGTTACACTTCTCCCTGTAGCCCCGAAGCTGTGCGCGCGCCTGCAACAGGCTGTGCTCTCGGAGGGAGGCCTGTGCACGCGCCTGTAACAGGCTGTGCTCTCGGAGGCCTGTGCGCGCGCCTGCAACAGGCTGTGCTCTCGGAAGCCTGTGCACGCGCCTGTAACAGGCTGTGCTCTCGGAGGGAGGCCTGTGCGCGCGCCTGCAACAGGCTGTGCTCTCTCGGAGGGAGGCCTGTGCGCGCGCCTGTAACAGGCTGTGCTCTCGGAGGGAGGCCTGTGCGCGCGCCTGTAACAGGCTGTGCTCTCGGAGGGAGGCCTGTGCGCGCGCCTGTAACAGGCTGTGCTCTCGGAGGCCTGTGCACGCGCCTGCAACAGGCTGTGCTCTCGGAGGCCTGTGCACGCGCCTGTAACAGGCTGTGCTCTCGGAGGCCTGTGCACGCGCCTGTAATAGGCACCGCTTTCATGCTGGCTTTTGCTTTTGTCCATTTTTTAAAAAAGTATTATTATTGTAGGGGGGACTATGAGGTGTGTGCACATGCATGCCAAGTGGAGGTCAGAGGGCAACGCATGCAGAGCTGGTTCATTCCTTCCACATTCCTGTGGCTTCCAGGAATCAAACTCAGGTCACCAGGCTGCACAACAAGAGTCTTTACCCGTGGAGCCAACTTGCTTGTCCTGGTGGATTCTTTTTTTTTTTGAGGGGGTCGTGGAGTAGGTAGGAATTCAGGTATACTGCTCTACACCTCTCTGGAATTGGTTCTTCTCTCTAGTAGGTTTTTTCCCCCCACAAGATCTTGCTATGTAGTTTAGGCTAACCCCAAACTCAATGATCTTCCTACAGGATGAGCCATTGTCCCGAGCTCTGAGTGGTGTATGAAAAAGCATAACCAAGACAAACACAGTTTTGGGTTACAGCTCAGTGGTAGAGCCCCTGCCTAGAATCCCCCAGTGAGGGGCTGGGGTGTGGCTCAGTGGTAGAGCCCCTGCCTAGAATCCCTCAGTGAGGGGCTGGGGTGTGACTCAGTGGCAGAGTGATTACCCAGCATGCATGAGGCCCTGGCTCCCATCCTCAGCACCACAGGAAGAAGGGTAAAGGGCAAACGTTAGCTATCATACTCTGGTTCTTGAGGCATTTGCCTTCTATCCACAAAGACAGAGCTGAAGGGAGAGCTGAAGATGGGTGAATGGACACTGAATTCCGTCCCCCACCCCTTACCTCTGGTGTGCCTCTCCACCCAGTCATTGATGATGAATCTGGCTCTCTCCACCTCCGAGAAGTCCACCTGCTTCACTGTGGTCCGGAAGAGCTTGAAGAAGTGGGGCATGAAGCCCTGGACCAGCTCCAGGTCTCTCTGGACGAAGATGGCGTCGGCGGTGCTAATCTCGTTCTGGTTCCACGGCCCCATGAGCTCCTTGGACAGCTGACGGAGGGCAGGAGCTGTGGTCTTCTCTGCAGAGGTACAGGACAGGGCCCATTAGGCTCATGCTAAGCCAAGGGCTCTCGTCTGGACCAGGGTTCCCAAGGAGGGCCTTACCCCTGTCCAGGTGGATGAGGTTTTTCCATTCCTCCAGGGGTCAGTGGAGGGCAGTCGCTCCAAACTGTAACTTTTTTTCTTTTTCTCACCACCCTCCCTCCTCTTTCTTTCTCTCTCTCTCTCTCTTTTTTTTCTTGTTCAGTTTTTTGAACAGGTCTCACCGGGCACATCAGGGTGGCTGGACACTACTGTTTAGTTCAGGCTGACTTTGAACTCACAGAGAACTGCCCGCCTCTACCTCCTGAGTCCTGGGACTAAAGGTGTGTGCCCCCATGCTGTCTCCCTCTCTCTTTCTTCTCTCCTCTCCCCATTCCTCTCTGGGAAGGATTTCACACTTTAACACAGACTGCATAAACTGGTTTGCCACTCACTATATAGTCCTAGATGTCTTGGGAGCTAACAGAAATCCCCCTGCCTTTACCTCCCCTGTGCTGCGATTAGAGGCATACACTGCTATACTCAGCTCTCATATTTTAACCCTTTTGTGCATCCTGTCCCAAAGAGTCTCAGCTAAAGATTTATTTATTATTTAGAGTGCAGGCCAGAAGAGGGCACCAGATCTCATTACAGATGGTTGTGGACCACAATGTGGGTGCTGGGAATTGAACTCAGGACCTCTGGAAGAGCAGTCACTGAGCTCTCCAGCCCCTCAATTCTTAAATTGTAAACATTAGTTTGCTTCCCCCCCTGTCCCTTACCCTTCACTAGTGCTGGGATTACAGGTATGGCCGCCCTGCTTGGCTTGCTCTTTTGTTTGATTTTGTGACAGGGCCTTGCTCTCTATCCCAGCCTGGAGTGGCGCTTGCTATGTAGCCCAGGCTGGCCCCAATTCATCATCTTCCTCCCTCAGGCTCCCAAGGGCTGGGATTACAGGTATGTACCACCATACCTAGCTAGGTTGTTTGTACAATAATGGTGTTGTCAAGTGATTTATGCTCATAATCCTTTCCATATTTACTCAGCCCTGTGTGGTAGGCATTTTTCAATTGTTCCTCATTTTATAGATTATAAAACAGAGTTTACAGGAGTTAACGTCACAGGTTTTTTTTGTTTCTTTTTTTTTTAGGTCTCATGCAATCCAAGCTGTTGCTGAATTTAATACATAGTTAAGTACAAGCCTGAACTCCTGATCCTCCTGCCTCCAGTTCCCTAGGAATGTGGTTACAGCTATACCCCACCGTCTCCAGTTTCATTTGGTGCTGGGGATAGAACCCAGGGCTTTGCACCTGCTAAGCAAGCTGCATCCCCAGTGCCAAGGGGATACAAGCACAGTTTGTATGTTCTATATCTATTGGTTGGGTACATCATGGACAAGTCAAGTCCTTCTGACCCAGAAGCTGGAGAGAGAATGGTGGTCCCTGGGCTGCAGCTAGAGGTGACTGGACTTGGCCGTGCTGCAGCCTGGCCTTCTCTGCCTCCTCTGTTTGCTCTGGCCCCTAGTCCTCGAGAACCTCCTAACTCTCTCCGCCTCCCACCCTGCCCCCGGCTCTCACCGCTGATTTTGAATCCCATAGCATCTTGGATCTGCTGCTGCGTTTTCCCTGCCGTGGTCAGCTGCAGCATGGCCAGCACCGAGGACACCCCATAGGGAGAGAAAACCACGTTCCGGTCCTTGGAGGCCTGGACCACATGCTTAAACACTTTTACTCCGAAGTCGGTGGCCTGATGGGCTGTGCGGGACTCTTGAAGATGTAAAGCCGAGCTTTTCCCAAAGACCAGAAGCAGGCCCAGGGTGAGGCAGACTCGCGCTGAAGCCATCTTCATCCTACGGTAAATGGAAGGGAATCTGATAAGGAGAGGCTTCTGGAAGACTGCCCGGAGGGGGACACGGTGCCTCAGGCAAGGACTAGGCTCCCTGGGTTTGCCTTTAGCCTGTAAGAGATCAGTCCAGTAAATTCACAATCATTCAGATCCCATAACGCAATTGGATGATGAGCTCATCCCTTCTGCCTCCAACCAATTCTTTTAATTTTTTCCAGACAGAGTCTTGTTATGTTACCCAGGTTGGTCTTGAACACAGGATCCTCCTGTTTCAATTCTCCCAAGTACAGGGATCACAGGCATGCATTACTGCCCATAGACCCTGCTTGATTTTTATCATAAACCACCCTCAATTTTTACCTGTGGAAATCTTAGAAGAACACCCTGTGCGTCTCTCTTCCCCTCCGTGGGGCGGAGGGACCTTTGGACAATGACAGCTTTTGGTTTGCAAGTTTTTTGTTGTTCTCTTATCACAATTCCCCAACCACTGCTTCGATCAAGTTAGCAGTATGAAAAACTTCTCTGGGGCCAGGAGGACGGCCCAGTGGGTAAAGGCACTTGCCATCAAGCCTGACGACCTGAGTTCTAGTCTTGGGACCCACATGGCAGAGAGCAAGCTGACTCCTTAAAGTTGTCCTCTGATTTCCACACTCACTGTGACACATGAATATGTACACACGCATGCACATATAAATGCAATTTTAAAGTGTGTGTGTCTTTCTTTTAAGTAAAGTTTGTTTGCTAAATTTGAGAAAGGAGAGGCTTGCTGGAGAAGGACTGAGAGACAGCATATTTTGCTTCTGGGATCCAGGTTTAGAAGTGGGGTTTGTCCATCTTTCTCGACCACGTGTGGTCCCGGTTGGGCCAGGGCAGACTCAAGGCTGCAGAGTTCCAGAACAGGGTGGAAGAAAACCGAGGGAAAATGGGGGTGACGGACAGAGACTTCTGGGAAGAGAAGTTCTCTTCCATAATTAAGCCTTAGGTGACAGGGCGAGCTAGCCTTTCTCATACCTGGAGTTTTCAAAGGTGCCTTGTGATTGGCTCTTCGTCTTGCTTGTTGGCTGCTGCTCAGCTGTGGTTGGCTGTGTCCTGCGGGAGGCGGGTGTTCGGCTTTCCCGGTTCACAGTGCTCTCGGGCTCTGCAGCAGCCTGATCCAGCTGTGCTCTGCCTCGGGTCTGCAGTCTCCCTTTATACCAGATGTGGGCAGGAAATAGATGAACTCATGTTCCAGCCCCACCCACTTTCTAACTCTGGAAATGTCTGGGCTGCCCGCCTGCCCTCCCCCTCCCCCTCTCCCTCCTTCCCTCCCAGGGATTTGCTGGGACATGTGTGTACGTGTGTGAGAGGGCATGGGGATAATTGAGCAAACTGCTTGCCTTGATTGGAACTTCCCGGCCAGTTTGCCTTTGGCTGGTCTGTCCTCTCGACCCACGGTGGTACCACAGAGCTTAGCAATGCCTGGTGTTAGGGACTCCGTTCCTTGGTTCTCAGCCCGCAGTAACAGGACTCGAGTTAGGAGAAACCCAACACCAGAAGCTGTGAGCCTTGCCAATGCTGTCTGCCCCTATTGCACCCTGGGCTACCTCCAGGAAAGTCGGCCTGGCCTTCCCTTGGGTTTCTGCCCAGTGGCCAGAGGGCATGAAATGTGCCCTGTGGTTGTCTGGGTTCTGGTTCCTCTTGGACTTGAGCCCAAAGGGGAGCTTCAGGTCCTTTCTTCCTCCCTCCGTGGGTCTGCCTGGCCTGCCCTGGAGCAGGGCTGACTCTGCACAGGGGCCGGACTCTCCTGGTGCCCCAGGCTCTGTCTTACTGTCGGTCGCCATGTGTGGCTGGGTTTTGAGGTGTACTGGGTGGGGCGCTGGTGGCTGGATTGGACTGGGGTTTGCCATGGCTGGAAACGGGTTTCCAACAGAAAGCCTTATCCAGGGGCCGGGAGCAGCATGGAAGTTCACTCCTTGCAGCACCCTGAGGTGACTGAGGGGAAAGGAGCCGGTGTTTCCTAAAGATTTTATTCGTGTCGTTTGTTTGTTTATTTATGGAGATGGAGTCTCATTGTGTAGCCCTGGCTGGGCTGGAATTTATTCTGGAGCTCTGTCAGGCTCCCGACTCACAGCCCTCAGACTGCTTCTGCCTCCCTCGAGCTGACACTGAAGGTGTGCTCCACCGCATCCAGTTTGGGTGTTACATTTAGGTTACGTGTGTGTGTGTGCGCGCGCGCGTGTGTATGCGCGTGTGTGCGTGTGACAGGCGGGGAGTGTCAGGCTCCCAGAGCGGGAGTTACAGACAGTTGTTCACTGTTCCTTGTGGGCGTTGGGAGCGGCACTTAGGCCCTCTGCAAGAACGCTATGTGCTCCTCAGGGCTGAGCCATCTCTCCAGACCCCAGAGAGTAGTTTTTGGAGTTTTCTTCTCCTCTGGGTGTACACACTGTCGAGCTAGAGCCGCAGGACCAGGGATAGAAAGAAACAAAGCATAGATTATGGTGGGGTTTTTGTTCTTAAACCCTCATGATGGGGGGAGGGAATGACCGAGGAGCCTTTATTATCTACTATTATATTTGTTTGATTATTTGTTTATGACAGCCTCGTGCTCATGCAGCCCAGGTTGGCCTCAAACTCTTTATATAGCTGAGGATGCCTGGAGATCCTGATGATCCTGCCCGCCACACCAGGGTTTGTGCGGTACTGGGGCTCGAACCCGGGACTTTGGGCTCGTTAGGCAAACAGAACCTCACCCCCAGCCTGACAGTCTCTTTAGCGAGTGAACGCTAACGACGCACAAGAGGGCGAGGCTGCGGTCTTCCGAGGTTGGACAGGCCCAAGCCCCCTTTGTAGCCTTAGACACTGTGACGAGAGAGAGAGAGAGAGAGAGAGAGAGAGAGAGAGAGAGAGAGAGAGAGAGAGAGAGAGAGAGAGAGAGAGAGAGAGAGAGAGAGAGAGAGAGAGAGAGAGAGAGAGAGAGAGAGAGAGAGAGAGAGAGAGAGAGAGAGAGAGGGGGGGGACAGCTAGAAAAAGCCAAGGTGGTCCCTGGTGGGGGTTGGGGAGAAGGCACTCCGGGCCTCAGGGTTCACATGCTGTCATCTTTTGTACAGGCGGTGGGGGTTCGCTTGGCAGTATCCATGGCGACAGCTGGCTGGCGAGTCATAGGAAGTTTAAGTGGGTGGTAAGCAGGGATGTTTGTGTTGGATTTGCAGTAAACAGATACCAGGGCAACCAGCCCTGCAGAGCCTTCTCACCACGACCCTGCCTCCCGAGTCAGGTGGGGGAGGGAAACCTCAGTTGGAAACTTGGGCTCACAGGCCGCAGAGAGGCACTCCAGCCCGGCGGCTGCTTGTTTTTGTTCTGCTTCCCTTTTCTCCTCGCGGCTTGGAAGCGCTGAGTGAGGCTGCCTGGCTGGGCGGGAAAGGCAGACGTTCTCCGCCATTTCAGAACACGAAGACACAGCCCAGACCCATCCTCATCTCTCGCCAGTAGACACATCTCCAGATGCCACGCCCGCCATCCTTGGTGGCCAGGGGTGTCCCCAAGGTTCCAGAAGAGGGGCGGGTGGGATTGCCGCTGGAGGTGGGCCTCCTTGGGTGCTCTGGCTGGGAGACTGAGGTACCCCCTCTTCTCACTGCCATTCTCAGGGTTTTCCAGGTCCCCACCCCGAGACCACGCTTTTCTGTGTCAGGGCCTGGCTCTGCCAGGGTACGAGCGGTTTCCTCCTGACTTGGAGGTCTGATACTCTGTTCCAGGGCTCAGGGCAGCTGGATAATGGCTCTGTATCCTTCCTGGGGGTGGGGAAGGATGGGGGGAACACCCCTTTTCTTTGGAAATGGAAAGCTTTGGACCCTTCTTTTCCCTTCCTCTTCTTTTCTTTGGTGGGGAAGACATTAGAGATAGATCCATGTTATCTATGCCCTAGTTCTCTGGAACTTACTGTATGTACGAGACTGGCCACAAACTCACAGCAGTCCCCCTGCCTCTGCCTCCCTGGTACTGGAATAATAGGCATGCCTGCCTGCGTGCGTGTGTGTGTGTGTGTGTGTGTGTGTGTGTGTGTGTGTGTGTGTGAGAGAGAGAGAGAGAGAGAGAGAGAGAGAGAGAGAGAGAGAGAGAGAGAGAGAGAGGATCTTACTATGTATCCCCAGACTGGCGTTGAATTCACAATCCTCCTGCCTTGGCGTTCCAAGTGCTGGGATGAGGGATGTTGACAGACATACCACCATGGTCAGAATCCTAAAGGAGCCTCTAAACTAGAGGGGACCCATGGGTGTCGGGTGGGTAGGTTTAGCAACTGAGCCAGTGGGCCTGTGAGGCGGCTCACTGGGTAGAAGTAAGTTTGGCTACATGAGTTCAGTCCTTGGGGCCCACATGATGGAAGGAACAAGCTGTCTTCCAGCCTCTCATGTACTCTGCATCACACACGTGTCTACACACGGACACACACAGATACACAAACACACAACTAGATAAAAATGTAGAAACTGAGCTGGGCGGTGGTGGCGCACACCTTTAATCCCAGCACTCGGGAGGCAGAGACAGGAGGATCTCTGTGAGTTTGAGGCCAGCCTGGTCTACAGAGTGAGTTCCAGGACAGCCTCCAAAACAATACAGAGAAACCCTGTCTTGTAAAACCAAAAAAAAAAAAAAAAAAAAAAAGTAGAAACTGAGGCACAGACTAGCAGAAGAAGGCCTCTGCTTCTTTATGAATTAGGGCTGCCTGGATGGTCTGGAGCCCAGACTTGGCCATGGTCCCTGTGTCTCCCCTCCATCCCCTATGATCTTGTCTATCCTTGGGCATGGAGGGGGGACCTAGTTTTCCACTCACAGGATGCAGCTTCCTGAGGACTTCCTGGAGGAGGGGGCAGTGTCTTATTGGGACAGCCTTCTCAGAATCTAACCCGAGTCACAGGCTTGAGCTGTCCTTTCCCTTTCCCTCCCCACCAGAGCCCCGGAACCGCTGTGACCTCATCACCTTCTCTAACTTTTGACCCTTTGGTCAGTGTGGGGGAGGGGCGGGATGGATAGACAGAGAAAAGTCCTTGCTGTTGAAATCACTCAGCCCTTGATTTCCTGGGGATCAGAGATAAGAGCGTGCATTACGTGGGGCTGTGGATTTCTGGGGAAGTTCCAGGATCAACCAGCCAGGGAGATGGCTCCATCTGGTCCCTCTGCAGGTGGTTTGTAACTGGAGCAAACTCATATTTTCCATGGCTGTCCCCTACTCCTGCCCTGCACTCTCTCATGGAGCAGGAGGCTCCCACTGGAGCCTCGGGAGTCATGGTCCTTCTCCCACGGCCGCCCCTCCCTGCTTTTAACGTGCGTGCGCGTGTGTGTGCGTGTGTGTGCGTGTGCATGCGTGCATGTGAGAGAGTGTGTGAGTGTGTATGCGTGCATGTGCGTGAGAGAGTGTGTGCGTTTGTGTGTGTGTGTGCGTGTGTGCGTGTGAGAGTGTGTGCATGTGTGCAGGTCACAGGACAATGCTTAGTAGTCAGTTCTCTTCTCCCACAGGGATCAAGCTCACAGTGTCAGCCGGCCTTGGTGGCACGAGGTTTTATTTGCTGAGCTGTCTCCCAGGGACCGCTCCTGCCCTCCTGTCCCCTTGCCCTCTCCTTTTGCCCTTCCTCTTTGCATCTCTGGCTCTCCCCCTGAGACGTGTCCCTCCCTCTCAGGACAAAGCTGCCCCTCACTTCCTCTTCCAGTTTCTCTCTTGCCCTCTCCGTCCGGTCTCTCTCTCCCACTGCCTCTCTGACTCAATCCCTCTCTCCTTTTCTTTTGCCTCCTGGAATCCCTTTTACAGTCAACCCCAGGCTCTCCCTCTGGGAAGCAGGTTCTGCCTCCTGCCGTTACACAGGCTCCCTGGAATGCTGGTCCGGCCCCCCATGCCTGGTGATTTCACTGGGAGAGCTGGGGGTGGAGAAGAGATGCCCCCACTGACTCTAACTCACTGCACTATTTCTGGCCTGGTGGCTCTCCAAACAACACAGTTCTGAAAATAGCCCGTGTTTGGGGCTGGGCTGTGTCTGCCCTTTCTAGGAGTGAGCTGGGCAGGGTGGTCAGTGCCTTGGCTTCTGTTCATTGGGAAGCATGTCTCCGGACAGTCCCGAAATGGTCTCTCTGGTGTCTGCCTATCTGGGGCTCCTACCTGATGTTCTCAGTCTCCTACTTTCACAGAACCAGCCCCTCGGTCTCTCCTT